AACTTTGTTTGGGTTTAGGTGAAAGAGTAGAGAAGTTGTATGTTATTTCAATACATAAGATCGTGGGATGAAAGGAAGGGAACTGGAATTTGCATAGAGGATAATAGGTTATGGGGGAATCAATAATAAATAAATCTAGCCAAGTATCAGTGGATTGGGTGTGATGGGTGGGTTGAAAGGGTACAATAAATAGATCTAAGGAAAAAAGATATGTTCTGTCCGGAGTGTTTGAAAGGAGGTTGGTGTTGAGATCACCAGCAATAATAATATTTTCGTAAGGAGGGAAGATTCGAGAGTGGGATCGAATCGGACACGAGGAGGTCGATAAATAACGATAAAGAGTAGAGGAAAGGTACTAAAGGAAACCTGGACAAACAGATATTCTATGTTAGGGACGTCTGAAGGAGGAGATTTTAGAAGGACTTTGGCCGTCAAACTGTCATGTACTAACAATCCAACACCTCCACCTGTTCGTTCCATTCGATCATTTCGGAAGAGGGTATAGTTGGGTAAGGAAACGGATAGGGAGAGAATATCAGGTTTGAGCCAAGTTTCTGAAACGGCTATGGTATGATGGAAGTTATGGTGAAAATAATCGAGGAATTCGTCATAATGTGCTAGAAGGGATTGGGAGTTAACGTGACAGGATATTAAGGTATTGGTCATGAAGAGGTCAGGGTAAGGAGAATCTGCGGAGTGTGACAAAATGGTGTTAATATTGATGGAGTAGGCACATTTTTAAACTTACATAATGAGATATAATAACAAATTATGTACATTATATTGATATAGATCTTACTTGAAATCTTTAAATGAAGGTAAGCATAGAAAAAATTAAAATCTGATTCAAAGTAAAATAAGAAAATTTCATCTTTAAAAAAAATACTTAATAAGTAATAGAATAAATTATTATAAACTATAGAAACAAAAAAGAACAATAACACATTTAAAAAAGAAAATGGAAATAAAAGATATTCATAAAAAAGAGGTTGGAGGGAACAGTGAGACCTATTTCATTCCAGCAATTCAATGTCTTCCTTTTTGTTAACGATGATGACCAGGGATCCATCTTGTCTTCTGTATCGTACCTTTCCTCCAGCGAACCATACGTATCTCAGCATACCCGACGCCCTTTTCTGCCTTGCCAACCAGTATAAATGCTTATTACCCGGACTCATTTCTTCGCCTCTCGTCGCTGTTCCGGCCCAGATGTTGCGTGGAAAAGTCCCTCTTGACCTTGTGCAAACGGATGACTTCGTCAAGCACCATTCGGCTGACGAACCGCACGACGATTGGCGGTGGCCTAAATAACCCCTTGTTTTAGATATATTAATAACTATTGACAAATAAAATTTTAAACCATTTATACAAGGATTAAAAAAGCTGTAAAATAAAATAAAAATATTTTTGGTGAAATTTATACAAAGATAAAAAAAGCTATGTGTGACATAATGTGACTGGAGTTCAGGATGTTAGACATGATTGAGGGTTTGAAAAATATAATTTAAGGAGATAGTGGATAAGATATAATCAGTGATTTATAATTCAGTTTTAATATAGCAAATTCTTATGCAAAGCGATAGGAATATAAATAAATTTCCTGAGATTAAATAAAAACATAATAAAAAATAAATAAGACTTAAATTGAAATAAAAAGAAATAGTAAAAAGAAAAAGGTAACTTTTCCAATAAAATAATATCTCATTTTTGATAGAAAATAAAGATAATAAAAATATCCTTGATAAAAACAAACAGAATATTTACTAATTTTAGGTAACTTTCATACTGAGTTCAGCTGAAAGCATTTGTGCCATCTGACTTCCTACATCTCACTTAAACTCCACTGAACCTGATATATTTGATATTAGCAGTTTTCTTCTATTTGGCTATTCAGTAGAATTGTTTATTGGTGGGGTTCATTGTTTCACTCATGTAAATGCGCCGTGCCTCGTTTTCGCCCTAGCCTTGGTGACAAAGAGAAGTCCTTCTTTCCTCCTCTCTGCCGCACCAGTTCGTCTATCAGGGTTTCCCTCACAAATCTTACAACCAGGGGTACCTTCCTGTTTTGTCCTGTATCACATGTTGCAGATCATCAGGACACATCGTAATGCCTAGACTAGCTCTGACACTTAGAACTGTACCCTTCATTGTCTCTCCAGGTTTCTCGGGAATACTTCTTATTTCAATTATATTTTTTAACTAGTTTTATATACCGGTACTTAAACAAATAAAAATATCCACGATAAAATATTAATAAATATAATGGCTTTTTTTATCAGTGGCACTCTTGTCGGACTAAAAGTATTTTGTGACAATTAATTATTTATTATAATCAAATAAATATATATATAATCATATAAATATTATGAAATATACAGTCATAAAAGAAAATAACTAGTGTTAAACAAAATAAATATAATACATCATGAAAGACATATGGTAATTAGTTGTTTTAAATTATGTTTTGTACCGTCTCTAATTTTTACTTTCAGTTCCATTTGTCTGAAAATGCTTTTTTCTGCTAAGAAGAGGGTGGTAAGTTAACCACCGCACCAGATTTTTTTTATGTTTTAACATAAAAAGTCAAGGTTTTTACTTCACTTACTTCTGGATTTTTTTTTGTTTTCTAGAAGTATAGCTTTTTCTTTCTATATATTGGGTTGGCAAATATGTCCTTTATTTTTTTCATGGTAAATAAAATTCTATGTATTATAGACAAAATTTATTTTAATCTACGATATATTGACCATTATTTAATACAACTTTTTCCCATCTTTCCACTAACTGCATAATGCCATGTTCATAGAATGTCTGGAGTTTGTTGTTAAAAAACTAATCCAAGTGGTTTTTGATGTCCTCTTCCTTTTGGAATTCATGGAGTTCTGCAAAGACCGGAATAAATGGTAGGTACTTGGAGTTAGATCTGGTGAATAGGGAGGGTGGGGCAAAAGGTCCCATCCAAGGCTCAATAATTTATTGGGAGTGACCAATGAGGTGTGGAGCCTAGTGTTGTCTTGGTGGAACACAACAACCTTCTAATCATTCATAACTCTTCAAGATGTTCTCCAAATTCGGTGTTCCTATATCTGTTGGAAAGCTGAGTTATTGCTCTTCAAAGCTGTATGATTTTTTTTTTTAATTTAATGCCTACATAAGGAATAAATTAACAAAAACTCCTTATAGCTTTTTATTTATATCTCCCTTTGTAGTTTGTTTATGAAGGTCCTGTTGATGTCAATTTCGTGTAGTTTATGTGGCCCTAAATTCCTGCTAAATTTCTTGTAGATAGCTAAAGTCGTATTGAAGTTATAACATTTTTTGTGATTTTCGAAAGAAAAAAAATCATGTGAGGAACCCAAACATAGCCTGGAAACATAGCCGAGCTTGTGCTAATGGTTTTCTACGCTTATGTGCGACACATTTAGGGCTTTAGGAATCTATCGCCACTGATTGGGTGGGATTTTGAGCAGCAATGGCCTTAACATTGCTCGTTTCAGTTTCATGTGGGCGACCAGACTGTTGAGCATCATTGATGTCAAGATTTCCTGAATGAAATATGGCAAACCAATTTTTACAGGTGCGTTTGGTTAAGGCATCATCCCCATAAACACTGCAAATTTTTCTATGAGCTTCTGCAGCACGCTAACTTTTTTTAAATAAGGCAACAAAATATGCTAATGGATGATATTAAATTTAATAAAAAAGACGTCTTTCTGTATATTCCTTTATTTTTCACTTTTGCGCCAAAGTAAAAAATACAGGAATATACAGGAAGACGTCTTTCTTATTAAATTAAATGTCAATCCTGTAACATCAAGCCACAATTAAAGAATGAATGATATTTTCGTCCATATTCACAGTTCAATAGCAAACACAATACTAAGCTAGTTTCAGCAAGAGTTAACAGATATGGTTATTGACATATTACAAACAGGATAAACAATCCACCTTAGGGATTAATTTATCAGATAAGAAGTGTATCTTAGTGACATTAAAATAAACATAAAAAACGAACGGACTATTTTACCAACCTAATATATAATTTTTTTTTTCAATAATACTATAAGTATTCTTGAGAAGATTTTATTTTATTTTTTAGTTGTTTACATTCTATTATTTAAATTGTTGCATATATTGTTAGAATCTCTACTAAGTTAGTTTGTAATGTTGATTGAGGTATTTATTGTAGCCAGATGAGTATTTTTTTGTGTGTGTGTGTGTGTTTGTTCATTACTCTTATTCTAAGAGGACTTTGTCCCAGAATAAAGTTTGTTTTTCTATTCTAAATTACAAGAAAAGCTATATATACATATATGTGTGTGTTTTGTTTTGTTTTTTAAAATAATTTTATGAATAAAATCTCCAAAATGCTAATTTTATTTATTTAAACTTGAATTGTTTGTCTCTAATGTGTATTTCCTAGTTATTTTAATTTTTGGTAATGTTTTTAACCTCCAGTTTAATAAGTTAGGTAACAATTATTCATTAGTGAACTAGGATACAACCTTTAATTATTTAAATTCATTTTCAAGTTTGAATTGTTCACCTAATCAGAAGCAATTCCATGAATTGATGAAAAGTGCCTAGAATTTTACAATTTACAGCCTTGAGATCCTTAAATTATTTATTCTATATCCCTGGACTCCATGTCAAACGCTTGGATGTATAGGACCTATGTTTATTATTTTCACTTATTCTTTCATTGTACAGTTGAGTCCTCCTAATCAGGACCCTGATATCCTTAATTTATTATCAGGAGACAAAAGTGGCGAGTGGGGATGGGGTGCTTGCAATAGGTAATCAGAGCTCAGCAACATTAAGAGGTGTAAGTACTTGATTGGGTATGTTGTGGTGGGGATGTTGGACTATGTTTCAGTAAAATAAATTTAATTTATTGTATGCCTCTAAACCTGAGTGGGTGAGGACACTCCATTACTTTTACTTATCTATATTTTCAATCTGTAATAGAATTGTTTTTACTTAAGTTTTTTTTTTTCCAGACCAGCTCCTAAAGATGAAGATGAAATGATGGTAGCAATTTTTGAATGCATTGATAGACTTTTTAAAATTGTAAGGCCCCGTAAACTTCTTTACCTAGCTGTAGATGGTGTTGTGAGTATTTTTTAAAAGTGTTATTGTTTTAGTTATTGTGATTTAATTTTTTAGTTAATTATTTATAACTTACACAGGCCCCAAGAGCAAAAATGAATCAACAACGGTCAAGAAGATTTAGAGCGGCTAAGGAAACAGCTGAGAAAGTTAACCAGATTGCTATGATTAGGTCTCAGCTGGAAGCCAAAGGTGTAAACTTACCCCCAGAAAAGGATAAATCTAGTCATTTTGATAGTAATTGTATAACTCCTGTAAGTGAATACATTTCATTACATTCTAATTGGACATATTTATGATAAGTCATTTTCAAAACTATTCTATGCTTAAGCATAGACTTATTAATAAGTCTATTTTACTGTTTAATGAATTTGTTCAGTGATAAATTATGGAATTATTAAGAGCTTTGTTAAGTGTACTGTAAACTAATTACTATCAGATTTTATGATAGGGAAACAAAGATGTTTATTTGTTCTGTATTCAATATAAGGGAGGACATATTAAATAAAAGAGAAAATAAATATAAAAATATCGGAAAATATTTGTATAGTGTTTATGCTCTTTTTCTGTCCTTACTGTAGTAGATATCCCCCTCTATTTTCTCCTTTATGTGACATTGGGTGAGGGAATGAGAAGGAATATATAGGAATGTGAGATTGCACGATGAATTGTACTCAATTATGCAGTGGAAAAATTATTCATGGAAAAGTCTCATATCGATAAACAATCGATGAAGAAGGATGCTGGAAAAAGGTCAGAGCAGGTAGCTAGCAACAACTGGTAAAAGGACGCCGAGAAGGGCACTTGATGCAGATACACGGAGGCGAGAGGACGTTACCTGAGATGAGAGAGGCAGAACATTGAAGACCAAGAATATTCTGGCCGACAGTTATAAGACTTTAATATATTCATTTATTATCAGTTGTTAGAGTAAATTGTTTTGTTAGACAGGAGTGAATAGTCCTTTTATTTAGTTGTCCTATAGGCCTCACATTTGAAGAATAATAAGCAAGGTGAGTCAATTCATTCAAAGTGTATTTACTCAGTCCCACATTATATATATATATATATATATATATTGTGGTATATATATATATATTATACTTGTATATATATATATATATATATATATATATATATATATACAATATGTTCTTATTGTTTCTTGTCACGCAGTGTCACAAAAGGTATTAGATTCCCGAATCCCCAACAACAGTTAAACACCCTCAAAAAGTCGATATCCAGTGCCGGGGTTCTGTTTTAATAATCAGGAGTGTAAATGACCTAGTTCCCCGATATAAAGCGGAAGGCTATGCGCCTATTCCCGCCAAAACTAATTATTTAAAATTATACTTTCAACATGTTATTTACATTACACATGACAACTTCACATGACATTTTAAAAACTTCAATTCAACCACAAACACTAAAATTATCCAAGAAAAACTACCAACTACAAACACAAACACACATATATATAATTGTTTTATTTATTTTTTCATTGCAGGGTACATCTTTTATGTCTCGTCTTACAGAGTGTTTAAATTATTATATACATGACAGATTGATCTCTGATCCAGGTTGGAAAAATATTAAAATTATTTTGTCAGATGCTAGTGTTCCAGGAGAAGGCGAACACAAAATTATGGATTTTATTAGGAGACAAAGGGGTAATTGTTTTATATTTTATCATAATATTTATAATGATTTTTAACTCATTGACTGCCAAGATCTTAGTAAATAGCCAATTTCATTTAATCTTGTTATATTATTAAAAACTCTAGTTATAGTTTTAATCATCAAAAAGCATATTGTTTGATTTAAAACTTTAATTAAAGTATATAGTAATCATCAAAAGCATATATAATATAATTTTTTTAAATGTTCTCTATTTAAATTCATAAGGTATGAAGTGTGTGAAGGTTGATCTTTTTTCTTAAAATTTCACAATTCAATATATTTTGCCACCCATTGAAAAATTAAGAAATACTTTATAATTATGGAACGGAAAGATGTTCATATCATCAAATAACAAAAGCTTTACAAAGCATTATTAAGTATTATAAATAATCCTAAAGGCTTTTAATTTATTTTTAATTTTAACTTATAGGAGAAATGTAGCTAAGTTTATTATTAAAAAAGATAATGGACCAGATTGGGTATGAAACGTCATTCATTTTATTTTTTTTTGTATTTATTTATTTATATGATATTTACAACTGTCTACAAAAAATACATCTAGTAAATTCACACATGGATATAATGACATGAAACACATGTTGAGAAACTACCCATTGGTAGCACTCTAATAATATGTCTATATTAGGAGATCACGTGGCCATCTCCTTTTCAGACGCCTCAGAGGGTTATCAGGAATTGAATAGGAAGCAAGGTTAGAAACAAGAGGGTGGGGATGGTTATGAAGTTTATTATGGAAGGATAGGTATCTGGATTCGGCCAAATCGGAAACATATGGAACATTGAGGTCTTTATGGATTATTTTATTTGTGACAAAGTAAGGAGCATTGAGGATTTTACAAAGGATTTTGGATTGTAAAGATTGGATACGAGAGGAATTTGATGGTTTAGTGGAGCCCCATAGTTCAACTCCATAAGTCCAAATAGGTCTTATTATAGTCATGTATATGAGTTGTTTGTAATTAATGGGAAGTTTAGAGCGTTTGTCCAGTAAGTGTTGGAGTAAGCGGGAACGTCGAGCAGTTTTTTGTCGTTTCAGTCTTGTATGAGGATTCCAAGTGAGACGTCTGTCCAGCTGGAATCCAAGGTATCGGATTTGTTATACAGGGATAAGTGGGGTGTTATTAAAGGATACTATAGGGCAGCAAGTCATTGGTTTACGACGAAGGGTAAAGGTGATTTGATGGGATTTATTGGAATTTATTTTAATCCTCCAGTTTTGACACCGTTCTTCAAGGTTTATGATGTGTGATTGTAGAGTTTGGGATGCAATTGTTGGATCATTATTAACTGACAGGATACATGTGTCATCAGCATACGTATTGATGACAGTGTTAGGATGGGTTGGGATATCAGCTGTATAAACTGTGTAAAGGATAGGACCAACGATACTACCTTGAGGAACTCCGGCAGATTGAGAAAAGAGGGATGAATAGGTATTATTGTGATTTACTTTGAAGTGTCTATCAGTAAGATAAGAACTGATAAGAAAATATGTAGGGAGAAGGAATTTACGGACTTTGTAAAGCAATCCCGGATGCCAGACTCGATCAAATGCCTGTTCAATGTCGAGAAAAACTCCAGTGCAATACATTTCGCTCTCCAATGCAGAGGCGACAACGTCTACCACACGATGACATTGTTGGATAGTGGAATGGGATATGCGGAATCCAAATTGGTGATCAGGGATTATGGTCATTCATTTAAATATATAAAAGGTATGAAGTGTGAAGGGGCTGATCTTTCTATCTGAAATTTCTTCTTCTTGTAAACTTCTTGTGAATCATCTCATAGTTGGTTTATCTAAAACAAAACTATCTGCAGAAACCAATTTATTTCGTGCATAGACACGCTTATGTAAACAAATAAATTTTATTATTCCTAAGGCCTGTACACACTAGTTTGTTTCTGTTCGAACGTTGTTTGTCAATGTATTAGCAAAAGTTCTTGAATTTCATCAAATCGTCTAGTCCCAACAGCAAATCCCCTTGTGAATGAACTCCATCTAATTAAACTACATTTTTTTTTTTTAATTTCTGCCAATACCAACATTTTTCATGTTAATTAACTATTAAAATAAGCTATAAATATATCATTTAAACCATTTTCAATATGTATCACCTCTCTAATGCCAAAGTAAACAGAACAGGTGATAAGGAATCACCTGGTTTTAAACTAGTAACAAAGGATGTGTATGTCCAAAACATTTGGTCATACACATCCTTACTAGATCCACTAATTTTTTTGGGATCCCCATCTCTATGTTGTTGTAGTGGTCGTGTGTTTGCGACTGCTCACAGTGACAGATTTCTGGCCAGTCATCTGGTTTCAATGTATTGACAAGTGGTGGAAAGCTCTGATAGTAGAGATGGCCCTTTCTGCAAGCACCGGTGGTGTGTTTGCATCTTAAGACCTGTCCGCGGTGTGAGGCTAGGTTGGGGTTGGTTTAGACCTTCAGATTAGGTACGACCCCAGCCGGTGCCTACACCTCATAGTATAGGCGTATGCTTGCTGATGATTTTATTTAAAAATGTTTAAGTCGAATCATACAAAAAAATCATTACAATTTGTTTAAATTGGAACAATGTTACAAAAATTGTCATTTTCTCAATGTTTTGAAAATAAAAGATGTCCGTCTTTGATATGAAACCACTCATTTGTATTTGGAATGATTTTTGCATAGCTCTTTTTATTAAATACTATTATTGTAGCTGAACCATCAGGCGTATTTTCTTTAGTAATTTTTGTCACCTATCTAAACTATATATATATATATATATATATTAGTTATATTTAAAAAAAAAAAAATTTGGAGAGTATTTTCTTTATTTTTTGTTTTTCATCTTTGTAATTCCCACTGTTTAAATTACAAATATTTTATAAATTAATTTTCATGCTTGAGATATAGATGGGTAACAGAAATAAAACAATTAATTAATTAGGAAATATAATTTATTTACTTTAAACCCATATAAATTTTTTAAAATAATGATCATATCTCAATCTTTATATGTATCACAGTATCTTTCAAGCTCAGTTCCCTCAGGCAATATAAAAATATCTATTTTCTTTTAATCAATTTAATAAGCTAATTCAAATAGTAGAGGCAGGTAGGGTAATAGGAATTATGGATGATCTGTAAATAGAGAAATTCAAGTTTTTAGTTGGTTTTTTGTTTTACTGGTATAGGAATTTCAATGGTGTCTTATAGGTATAGAATCTTTCAAGCTGGTAAAAAGTTAAAAAAGATTATTATTAAAGCCAAGATGTAAGCTAGTGATTGTAGATTTTAAGAACTTCAGTATGCTGTCTGAAAAGATGGGGATTTAAGGTAAGGATCTTTTAAAGAAAAGGGTGGATGGTGCTTAGAAACAGAAAGTTGAAAAAAATGAAATTATATATATTTAGGGTAAAGTATGCCTGGGATGTTACTTTTTTGCCAAAATCGACCAACTCGAAGTGGCACTTCATGTGATCAAATTTACACATTTTTATCATTTTCTTAAGAATGACTCCAACAATTTTGATTAAATTTGTTTTATCTGTGTAAAATCAAGTGATCTTATGTATATCTTGTAAATTGTTCGCTCGACACATGGTGCTTCTTAAAAGAGCATTTCTTAACCAGAAATTGCATAGTTGGTGTAATATGGATAATTATTGTGTTGTTTATAGTAATAAAGAAACTAAATGACTAATGAGAAACTACATTAATATTAGAGTTCCCCCGTAGCTCACTCCATTTTATAATGGAGAAAATCAGTACTTTGTATGTCAATTATCAACTTTTACCTCCTCTCAGTTTATAAAAATAAAATAAAATTGATAAAAATAAATTACTAAATGTTTATTTTTCTAAAATAAAAAATCTTAATCAAGCTTAAAAAATAATTCCTCTAAAACATATTATATATGTTATTTAAAAGACTGATTTTTTTTTTTTACAAAGATTTTATAGTCAATTTCCTTTCACGTATAATAAATACATTTAGTTATAAACTATAAAATTTTAATATTTATGTCCACAGACATATTCGTCAGAGAAAGTTATCATTAAATTGGGAAAAGTCAGGGAATTTTATCTTAACTGTTTGGTAGCCACCCTGAACTCCTATAATTTTTACTTTCACTTCTCTTTGTATAAAAATTCATATTTCTACTAAAAGGAGGATGACAAGAAAAAGTTGTGTGATGCGGGAGCACTGTACCAGATATTTTTTATTTGTTTAAATCTAGTTTTTGTTTTAGATTAAATATAGATTTTAGTCTTTGTATAAGCATAAAATGTAGTTCATTGAAATTGAGTTATGAAATAATTACAATACTAATTTATAGTATGTTTATTACCTTATGCTGTGTTATGAATAATTTATTATTATTAAGCATATATTATTTTTGTTTGTAGCTCATCCTGATCATAATCCAAATATTCATCATTGTTTATGTGGTGCTGATGCTGACTTGATAATGCTTGGTCTAGCTACTCATGAACCTTACTTTACTATTATTCGGGAGGAGTTTGTAATGAATCAGACTAAACGTTGTGATCTCTGTGGTCAGACTGGTAATATAAAATTTCCATTTATAACATAATCTTGTACATTTAAATTTAGTCTGTATTAAAATTATAATTTATGATTTACGGTTGTTGTGATATATTGATAAGTACCGATAGGTACATTTTAGTTGGGTGGATAAATTAGTAAGTAATTTTGTGTTTTAATATGTAACAGTGGTGTTCTTCAAATAAATTGTATACTGCTGATCAAGTCGAACAAGTTAGTGATAAATATTTATATACTTTAATCTCTTCTGCGTGACAGATGCATAAAGCGGTCCTTGGCCTGATCAATTTTTTTTGCCTTAAACGACCCTATCTGTACAGTGCTCATCTCTGCCTGTCTCTGAGGACACCATCCTGCCAATATGATCTGGGTCTTGTCCCACCTGGCATGTTCCTGTATGCTTTTAGAGGCCACCTGTAGTCTTCCATCCTGCTGATGTGTCCAATCCATTTCAGTTTCTGCAACCTGGTGAAGTTGGAGATATTCAAATCCTGGTATCCACCATACAGGTCCGAATTTCAGTGCAGACACCAAGTTTCATTATCTTTGACAGGTCCCAGAATGTGTCTCAGGATCTTCCTCTCGAAGCCATCAAGCCTTTGTGAGACTGCCTTGTTTATTGTGCAAGTTCCACATGTATAAGTCGCTATTGGTCTTATAAAACATTTGTATTGTCTTATTTTTGTAGTTCGACTTAATAATCTGCTTCTAATCATTTTGGCTAGGGAGAAATAGGCTCTATTGGCTGCTGCTAATTTACATCCTATTTCAGTTTCTTCTTCCATCCTTTCTGTGATTATTGATCATAGGTATTGGAAACATGAAACAACCTCAAAAGTATATGTTGTTGTAGGGCCCCATTCTGTTTCCTTATGCACAACATTTTCGTTTTATTTTTATTTACCTTAAAGCCCATATTTTTCTCTTCTTTTTCTGATTTGCAAAAGGCTTCTTCTAAAGCAGCTTATGATCTCCCAACAATTGCTATGCCATCTGCATATGCTAGTATTTGTACCATTCTAGTAAATATTGTATTGGCATGGCATCAGTCCTGTCCTGCTAACAATACTGTGCAGTACTATATTAAATAACAGTGGTGCCAGTTTGTCACCCTGTCTTTAGCCCTGTGATCACACCAAATGAGCCACTACTCTTACCGCTCATCCGGACTTGGTAAATATCCTTCATCGTATACCTAGATAGTCCTATAAGTTTTCTAGGGATACCCATTTCCTTCATTGCACTGTAGAGTTTCTAATAACAAAATTGTAAGCTGCCTCAAAGTCCACAAAAAGAACCCACATAGGTTTAAGGTGTCCGAATTCGTACATCTTTTCACCCAGTGTTTAAGGGTGAACATTTGGTCTTTCGTAGACATATTCTTACGAAAAACCTGTTTGGTAGTCACCAACTGTGCTTTCCATGTAGGGCTGTCAACCTTTTATATAATGCAATAGAGAAAATTTTACATGCAACATTCAGGAGACTGATCCCTCTATAATTGCTGCTCTCTGTAGGATCACCTCTCTTTTTAAACACTGAGACGACTGTAGGTTCCTTCCATTTTTTGGGACATTCTTCTTGCTCTATATGGGCTATTAGCTTACATAGTTCACTATTCATTTGGTAACCTGCCACTTTCCACAACTCTGCCGTGATGTCATCCATTCCTGGGGCTTTATGATTTCTCAGTCCAGCGATGATGTCCGCTATATCCTCGGCCTCCAGGAGCATTTCTTTATCCGTTTGATCATCCTGATCACATTCATTTCAATATACATCAAGTGTAGGATTCATCTGCTCACTGAAGTATCTCTTCCACCTTTCCATTACTTCATCAGCCACTGTAAGGCATGCACCATTTTCATCCCTTATTATTGTTTTGTTTGACTTAAATGTTGTTTTAAAGTCCTTGACTTCACGGAAAAATTTCCTTGTTTCTCCATTTACTTGGGATGATTCTATATTCCTAATTTTTTTGATCCATGGCCATCCTCTTCTTTTTTTTACAAATCCTTTTTGCATATGCCTGAGCATCCCTGTATTCTTTTCTTGTTTGTCGAGTATCATGGCTAAATGGCTTAGAAACTAAGTTTTTTTGATGTTACACATTTTCAGGGCCTCCTCACATTCCACATCATACCATTCATTGCGAAACTTGGTCTGATTACTGCTGCAATGTTCATCAGCTGTTTTTTTTATTATTTGCTGCAGTATCTTCCAATGTTCTTCGACTGAATATTCTCCTTCGATGGCCAGTACCTCCTGATATCCTATCTGCTATGTCTTCTTGAAACTTTTTCCTTATGTCTGGTGTATTTAGCTTATCTGTGACCCATTTCTTTTTCCTACTGTCTGTTTTACTGGGATGTTGATAATAACTTAGTTTTACTTTTACTTTCCCTAGGAAATGATTGGAATTTATATCCGGACCCTTATAGGACCTCATATCATTTACCCAGTTGAAATGTTATGAACTTTAATAAAAGATTTAAAATTAGGAAGAATAGTTTTATGTTTCTAACTTTCTAACTTCTAACTAGTCTGAATATTACTTCTCTTTCTTATTTTTTAAAAATTAATTTGGCACCACAGCCTTCCAAGGGCATGGATCTTCTCACAGATAGATGCATATGACTGAACCACTTTTTTTATCACAGTCAAATATTATGACACCGATAAAATGCTCGCAACTTGTTTTTCCTAATCCTTAACCCTGAGCATGCTGGTCCTAATATTTTTCTGAATACTTACTTTTCTTTACCTTCCTATATGTATCGATATCTCTCCATATCCTTATTCCAAGCCCACCAATATCCTTACGTCGGACCAAAGCACAATACTTTAACAATGTACTATCACAAGCACCTAATCCTAAATCGAAATGGACAGTCTCAGGAACGTCTCTATCCTAAATCTAAATGGACAGTCCATGGATAAATGGTGTAATTGAAAACCTTATGAATGAACTAAACATGGATGTCAGCAATGAAGATGGTAATGAATTGATTGAATCTCATTCCATCAAATAAGTACTTAATTGAGAAACAATGATGAAGAAGAAGCTTATAAGAACTTCAAGTAGCCTTAATACATCTCGAAATAATAGTAATAAAAAGTTTATTCAAATGGCATTTGCAATTTACAAAAATGTATGTAAAAAATGGTCATATTTTGGTGTACAACATTTCACACTAAAGATAATCTGTCATCTTGAAAAATTTTGACCATCGTGGAAGAATGTGATCACAATGGTAAATGTTTATCAAGAAAAGAAAAAAAAAAGAAAAAAGTGGTATTCAACTGGCTCTTACATTTATGCTCAAAAAACCTAATTCACTTAAACTTATCTCATTAACTTAATCACATATTGCTAAGTAAATATTTAATAGTTTTTAGTGCATATTTTTTTACATCGATCTCTTAAATATTCAACATTCACCAACATTTTCAGGAATTAATTATGTGCAAAAGTTGAAGATCCCCTGTATCTTCTCATTTTCTTGTTGTACTGTTTCTTTTTTATTCTATTTCATATTAGGAGTTATCTTGTTTTTACTTAGCTTTGATGAAGGTCTAAAACATAGGTCAAAACATTGGCACTCTTTAAAATAAGTCAAAAGTGTTTTTCTATATACTGTCGGCAGCCATAACGATTTTATCCTGTAGTAAGTTGTATGGTCAATGATACCTTCACTATTATAATTTTAATTTGATTATTATTTTTATAGGACATGAATTGACTGAATGTAAAGGCTTGATTGATGATGTGGATAGTTTATCTTTACCTACTTCAATGGGCGCTCCTACTAGGTATATTTTTGTTAGGCTTAATGTTCTAAGAGAATATTTAGAAGAAGAATTAAAAATGCCAGACTTACCTTTTGAATATAACTTTGAAAGAGCATTAGATGATTGGGTATTTATGTGCTTTTTTGTGGGTAATGACTTTTTACCTCACTTACCATCTCTTGAAATTCGTGAAGGAGCAATTGACAGGCTTGTTATGCTTTACAAGAAGACTGTTTATCGAACAGGTGTAAGTATATAGTTTACTTTTTTTTAGTTTTATAATTTTTTCTTTTTTATTATTAGGTCATTACAAAAGTTTTTGTACATAAACTGAGTTTTATTTATATTTCAATTTAAAATTGACACATGAAAATGATCTTTAAAAATAAAGGCCATCATTGTCAATTACTTTATCCACCTCTGCCAGAAGTTGGTGGTGATGCCTCTCCTTGGTTTTTTATGTAAAAAATTTATCACATCCTAAAAGATTTGACATCCTCATTGTTTTAAAAGTATCTTTCAAACAATGCCTGATAGACCAGAAAAAAAATCATTGTCATATTGTGTAATAAAAGGGTTGTAAGGAGGATGAAACAAGATTATCACCCTACATCCTCTATTATTGGGAATTTTCATCTGACTAAATGTGAACGATGGACAGAAGCATTGCCTCACTAAAATGTAATTTTGTTTTGTTTGACCAAAGCAAGGTGCTTCTGTTTTAAAATTCTTTATGTTGTTTAAGTTAGTTCACAGTAGAGCCTAGTGTCAATAGCTCTGCTATGTGCAATAATCTCAAAGTGCAAAAAGATTGATTTTTATAAACAGTTGAATAAATTATATATAATTATATATATAGATAGATAGATAGATAGAAAAAAAAACTTTATTCTGGGACTAAGTCCCTTCAGAATAACAATAATGTACAAAATAATAGAATATTACTGGCCTGAACGTTGAAACAATAAATAAAATTGATAAAATAAAATAAAAAGTAAAGAAAACCTTAGGTGCACAAGCTATATACAAACAGATAAAACTATGTACAGACCATTTAAAATTATGAACAAAACAATTAAAACTATGAACGAATCACTTGAACTATGAACAAAATTATATTTAAGGGTTGAACAACATAAACATACACTTTGAGAAATGAAGAACGAAAAAGAGATACAATGAGTTCATTTCATAAAAAAAAAAAAAAACTTTATATATATAAAAATAAACAGTTACTTATAATTGAATAAAAAAAAATGTATGTATTGAAATTCCTACGTCGATAGTAGGAAATGCATGTACTATCTCTTACCAAGTGTTATGATTATATGATTGCTACACAATACATATATAATATCAATAGTTAGCTGGTATCAGACTGTTTTTGGAACAGGAATTAGAATAGGAGGTTTTTGAATGTATATAGGGAAGGGGCATGTCGAATTTTGATCGGGAGGGAATTCCAAAAGTTGACAGAGCGGGCTATAAAGGAATTTTGGAATGAGGCAGATCTATGAGAAGGGATGTATAGGTCAGAGGGTCGGGATCTTGTAGTGAGTGAATGGATTGAGGACTTAAATTGGAGAAGGTTGTAGGCATAAGAAGGACGATGGTCGGTAATGATTTGATAAAGGAAAGTGCCAAGGAAATATTGTCTTCTTAAGGAGGGGAAGAGCCACCCTAACTCAGTGTAGTGGTGGGAGACACGGGAGCGTCTCGGGGTTCCAATTACAAATCTTACGAAACAATTCATAAGTCTTTTGAGTCTATCACGCAGTTCCACCGAGAGGCCATCGTACACCACACAGCTGTAGTCAAAGTGGGGAAAGATGAGATATTATATAATTTATTCAACAAATATATTATATAATTTATTCAACTGTTTATAAAAAAAAAAAACTGTACCACTATAACCTATGAAGGACCTCAGTTCAGTACTATTTAGGGAAAATATTGTTTCTTTGTCAACGGTTGTGCAAGGAGGTGATTTGACTTAAATCATGCTCAACCGCCAGGTTTTCTTTATAGAGGCTGGGTGTGTCCCAGGAGGGTCTCCTGATCCCAGGGCCTCCCACAGTGGATGGAACAGAATAAATAATTTCTTCATTAATGATTTCTCCATAAAGGCATAAATAATTGCTATTTTACATATAACAATAACATGTATAAAATGACATAGACTACCGATGGGTTCAATTTTTTTTTTTTTTTTTTTATTTATTTATATGATATTTACAACTGTATACAAAAAATACATCTGGTAAATTCACACATTGGTATAAAGACATAGAACACATGTTGAGAAACTACCCATTGGTAGCACTCTAATAATATGTCTATATAGAAGATCACGTGGCCATCTTCTTTTCAGACGCCTCGGAGGGTTATCAGGAATCGAATAGGAAGCAAGGTTAGAGACAAGAGGGTTGGGATGGTTATGAAGTTTATTATGGAAGGACAGATATCTGGATTGGGCCAAATCTGATACATAAGGAACATTAAGGTCATTATGGATAATTTTATTTGTAACAAAGTAAGGAGCATTGAGGATTTTACGAAGGATTTTGGATTGTAAGGATTGTATGCGAGAGGAATTTGAAGGTTTGGTGGAGCCCCATAGCTCAACTCCGTAAGTCCAAATAGGCCTTATTATAGTCATGTAAATGAGTCTTTTATAATTGATTGGAAGGTTAGAGCGTTTGTCTAGTAAGTGTTGAAGTAGTCGGAAACGTTGAGCTATTTCTTGTCGTTTTAGTGTGGTATGAGGATTCCAAGTTAGACGTTTGTCCAGATGGAGTCCTAGGTAACGGATTTGTTCAACAGGAATAAGTGAGGTGTTGTTAAAGGATACTGAAGGACAGGAAGTCATTGGTTTACGATGAAGGGTGAAGGTAATTTGATGGAATTTATTGGAATTTATTTTAATTCTCCAGTTCTGACACCATTCTTCAAGGTTTGTGATGTGGGATTGAAGGGTTTGGGATGCAATAGATGGGTCGTTATTAACTGATAGGATACATGTGTCATCAGCATATGTGGTGATGACAGTGTGGATGGTTGGATGTCAGCTGTATAAACTGTGTAAAGGATAGGACCTAGGATACTACCTTGAGGAACACCTGCAGACTGGGAAAAACGGGATGTATAGACATTGTTGTGATTTACTTTAAAGTATCTATCAGTAATGTAGGAACGGATAATGAGGAAGTAGGTAGATGGTAGGAATTTTTTGAGTTTGTACAGCAGTCCCGGGTGCCAAACTCTATCAAACGCCTGTTCAACATCGAGAAAGGCTCCCGTACAGTACATACCGCGCTCCAATGCAGAGGATGCTAGTTCTACCACACGATGGCATTGCTGTATAGTAGAATGGGAGGAGCAGAATCCAAATTGGTGATCCTGGATTATCAGATTAGAATCTAGGATTGGGTACAGGCGTTTTAAGATTAGTTTTTCCAGGATTTTTCCCATGATGGGTAACAGAGAGGTGGGACGGTAAGAGGATGGATATTCTGGTGGCTTTTTGGGTTTGTGGATCATTTTGACAATAGATATTTTCCAAGGATCAGGGAAATATGTGGATTGGAGTACAGCGTTATATATGAAAGTAAGGAATAGGATGGCTTTTCGAGGAAGAAGTTTCAAGATCTGGGATGTTATTAGGTCATGTCCAGGAGCTTTGCAGGAGGGTAATCTTTGAATGATGTTGGATATTTCTGTGGGATGAAATGCTTTAGGTGGAAGGGACATTTGGAGAGGAGTATCCAGTTCTGATTCAATACATTCGATGTGGGTTGGATTAAGGATATCAGGATGTGGGTTGAAAATTTGGAACAGATGTTGACCGAATAACTGGGGTTTTTCTTCGTCGGTTTGGGACCAGGTTTGGGATTCAGTAAGAAGTGGGTGATTAAAGTCTTTAAACTTCAGAAGTTTTTTGGTTGTAGTCCATAGTGATTTGTCAATTGTAATATTTTCAGTTAGGTTCAGTAATTGTTGAGTTTTATATTTTCTGATTTCTGATTTTAGTTTGTTAGTCAATTCGGTATAGTACGTTTTGTCTGAAGGATATCTAGTCCTGTGCCACTTCGATCTTGCTCTGCGTTTATCCCTTAATAAGATTCGAATATGCTGTGGCAAGTTAATATGTCTTAAATTATTGCTTTTATTATTAACAAATGTGTTATTATTTATACTCGTTGTTATAGTTGTAGTAAGGTTTTCTATGGCATTTTCAATATGTTGTTTTGTCTTAAGGGGAATTTTTAAGTCCAGTTTATCTTCCAGATCATCACGAAATTTGTCCCAGTCCACTCGTCCTGTAATCAGTTTAGGAGTAAAGTTCGAATGTAGTAAAAGCAAAACTGGACTATGATCTGACGAAAGGTCATCCAGGGATTTGATAATGGATTGGGAGGAGGAAATCTGGGAGGTGATAAATATATCCAGGATATCGGGACGTTTTTTCAGAGATGTAGACCAATATGTAGGATTCATGGGTGAGAGGATTGAACAACTGTTGGAAGAAGAGACACGTGATAGGATGCTACCGCGGGAGTTGGATGTTCGACAACCCCATCGTTGGTGTTTAGCATTGTAGTCTCCTCCAGCAATAAAGCGCGCTCCGAGAGATTGAAATAAGGAATCAAGTAGGCTATAAGTGAGGGAATTACCAGGAGGACAGTATACAGCTGAAAGTGTTAGATGGAAAGGACGAGTTGAAAGGATTACAGAAGTTGATTGAATGGCATCAGTTGGAGTAGAAGGGATAAGGGAATGCGATAGAGATTTATGTATAAGGATGCAAGAGCCAGCGTGGGAAGTGTTGTCAGGATGGTCAGATCTATAAGTGATGTAGTCACGTATGTAGAATTGTGTCCGTTGAGTGAAGTGAGTTTCTGTCAGGAGAGCAATGTCAATATAATTGTCATGGAGAAATATGTCTAGTTCGTCACGGTGGTTTTGTAGTCCGTTAGCGTTCCATAAGAGGATAGCTAGGGGCTTTGTATTCATCAGAAGTTAAACGGGATTTCGGAAAGGGGTCTTGTGAGAAGAGTTATAAGCGGTTTGATAGTCTGTTGAAGATCTATCAGGAATGATGAAAGGATAGAGTTGATGTCGGATGATGTTTGGCTGGGAAGTGGATTTAGGTCGTGAGGTTGTGATGAGTAATCTATGCAAATAGGATTGTTGGGTGGAGGATGGGTCCGACGTGGGGTACGAGGAGTAGGATCTAAATTCTGTTGGACTTGTGATGGGAGGTTCATCTTGGGAGTAGGAACGAGTGGAGCTGGGTGTGGGTGCTCTGGCGGGAGTTTGACCCTTAAGGGTAGCTGATGGGGAGGGATTGGCTGACGAGGCTGTTGAGGTTGAGTATTAGAGCTTATGGGCTTGGATTGGGAGGTTTGAGGCGCCTGAATTTGAGGCTGCTTCTTAATGATGGAAGGCTGCCATTGAGAATTTCTTGAATTCTGTTGAGGATAATCCTTAAGTGTAGAGATGGATGATTGTTGTTGGACGGCGATGGAAGGTGAAATCTGCAATGCTGGGAAAGTTTCCTGATTTTCAATTTTAGGTGGCTCAGGACAAGTTTTTTGAGCAGGTCCAAGGGTTTTCGTCGCTAAGTTGCGTGATCTCTGTTTGTGAAGATTGGGTTCAAATTTAAATGTTATTTTAAGTGTTATATACATGAATGATAAAAAAATCATTTGACAAAACAAAAATTAAACCAGTCTGTATAAATAAATATATAGATGATTTATTCATCATAACTTAAAAAGACCAATTTAACATTTTGCTGGATACATTTAATAAATAATCCAAAAAGAATATTATTTTTTTTACATCTAACAATACTATAGTTACAAAAAAGAAAACAATGAAATAAAAAATAGTCATAACAAACAAATAAATGATACTGGAAAACAAAAAATTATAAAAAAATATCATAGGTTAAATTACATCCCTTCTTTAACACATAAAATAAAAAAAAGATTTAATGATAATAATTGCGACATAAACACTGGTTTATATAATCAAAACAAGATAAATAACTACCTAAGTCCGATGAAAGATAAAATAAATAAATTTAAACCAAAAGATGTATACAAGGTGGAATGTAATAATTGTGAAGCGACATACATAGGCGAAATAAGACAAAACTTGGAAAAAGAATGAATCAGCACTTTAATGATATAAAAAATAGTAAAACAGACAACAAAACAGACCTAGCCCATCATAGCATTACTAATAGACATACATTCAACTTAGCACAACCACAAATATTATATAAGGAAACATACAGTATACATAGAAAGGTAATAGAGTCAATATTTATTATTAAACATAATAAAAAAAGCAATTCATTTTAAAACTGATGCAGCAAAAATAGGGAGTCATTATTCTCTCACCAAGTTAAACCAAAAATCTGTTATTTTTCTAATAACCTACCGTAATGCAGTCCCTTTATGTTTAGGGAGCTAGAGTGGATCTTTAACTAAGGATTAAGATGTAGTGGTGGGCACCTCTGCTTATGAGGTTGCCATTGAAATAAATTATATGTTCTTTTTATTCTCTTTATGTATTTTAATATTTAAATAGATATCCATTCACCATCTTTAAAATTATATGAATTTGACTACCATATATCATGAGTAATATTAATGTTTCAATTAATTAATAGTTTTCTGTTTTCAGGGATTTATTACTCATAGTGGTGATGTTAATCTTGATAGAGTACAGTTAATTATGACTGATCTTGGCCAGGCTGAAGATCAAATATTTCACAAACGACAGATAAATGAGAGGAATTTCAGACAGCGTTTAAAGCAAAAAAAATACCAGGAATTGCAAAAAAAACTGTTTGAGCACAATTTTAAAGAGGTATTTCTTTTTAACATCCTTACTAGTTTTTTTTTTACTACTTTAGTGATTCTTCAGCATGAAGTTTACTACAGTTTTTTCAATCAGACTCAATCCTTGGTTGATTATGTGTGGTTGATGTTTCAGACATTTGAATAAGTTGATGTTGATGAGGTTTTACTCACATATACAGTATATGTTTGTGTGTGTATATATATATATATATATATATATATATCCGGGTATAGGGATGATGACTCTACCCCATGTACTTAAATCGGGAATCGGGATGTGGTTTACCAGGATGTTAATAGCCCCCCTGAGGTTCGGTCCATGGACGGTCTGGGAAAGAAATATAGGTCCTCGTGCGCCTGCTGACTCCGAGCAGCCATAATCCAGGGATCTAGACTGATTTGTCACTGTCCTTGAACCTGAGAATGTCGATGGGAAGGACATTGCCAAAGGGATTGGCTATGGAGCTACGGGTGGCCTGCCGCTGCACCATGGAAACCATGGTTCGTAGCAACGTGTGGTTGGGTGACCCTCTCCAGCTCCCGCAAATATCACACATCTGTAAGGAGACCACATTTTGCAGCCAAAGCTCTTCATGGTCTGTAGTGCCAACCGAAAAAAAAAAAAAATATATATATATAAGATATATGGGGCTGTGGTAGCCGTGTGGGCTAAGGCACTTGCAGTAGGTAACCAAGTTAAGCAACGCCGAGCGTGGTTAGCACTTCGATGGGTGATTGTCCGATTCGGGTGACTGTCCACCAGGTAAAGGCACGCTGCCCAAGATTCAAAGAAGATCAAAAGAAGATTGTGAAAATTAATTGGTTCAGTTTTTTACCCAGAAGTCTCAGAACTTCTACAGTGACGCACATATGGTTTTACCACAAAAGTGGCAAAAGGTCATTGATCAAAACGACACATATACTGATACTGAACTTGTCTGGTCGAAAGCTGGATGAGAAGTGAACTATATTGACCTAAGGCCAGGCACCGACTCACGCTGTAGCATGAGCTGCTCCCACCACTACATCTCCCATTCCAATGTATTATAATTTGCTGCAAATTTAAATTTAAAATGAAGAATGAAGAAAATCACAATATTTACACATACAGGGTGAGCCAGGAGGAGTGGGCCTAACTCTAGAAGTAGGTTGCACATAAAAAAATAATTTTAAAAACTCATACTCATATCCGATTTCATTTGTTTAAATTTTATTTGCTAATTACAGATAAAGATAATTTTACAAATAAACAATATTTCATGCATTTATTAGCATTTGGGTTATCAAGGTTTTATTTTAATAAATTTTCAAAAATACCACCAACGACATCTAAATATTTTTGGCTTTTTCTTTGAAGAGCGACAGTTGCCATCCTGATTGTTTCATATCTTTCTTTCATTATACCTGCAGCATTTTTAATATGTTAAATTAGTGTATCCCAAGTATCTTGTTTTACTTTTTACACTTCATCTTTGAACCAGTCTTATAAATCCAATTGGACCATTGCCACCAATCCAACAACCTGGAAACTTTCTTCCAAATTTGTTATTATGCAAATTATTTAAAAATTTAACTAAGTCTCTTGTGAGGTGATTTTCTGAAATGAAAGGGCAGACTGAATATCCATCGATAATACCACACCACTCTTTTACTGAAAATTTATGTTGAAAATTGCTTTTGACTTTTGTTTGGTGATTTTCATCAGGCCAATGAAACATGTGGGCCACACATTGGAGTTATGAGTGTTATTAATGCCACTTTAGGTAAATATAGCTTAATTTGTGAAAAGGATGTGCAATGCAACTTGAGAATTATCATTTATGACAAAATATCATACGTTTAGGATAATATTTCGGTTGCAGGTGTTATACTCTGTTCATGGTATGGATACAAGCCTTGCTCGTGGAGTTTGTTTATTATTCTTTTTTGTGTAATTGGACAGATAATTTTAGTGAGATGATTATTTTATCTTCTACTAGATCAAGAATATTTTCTTGTTCTAAGCCTTGGCGAATAGCTCGTTTGGATGCTATAATCTTCGGAAATTTTCCGCTTCCGCACAGTTTATTGAAAACTCTGAAAAATACTTTTTTTTTATCAGATGTCTGTGATGAAACCATTGCCGATATTCCTCTATATCAGCTGTAGCACTCCCATTGGAAACTACATACTTGCATATTCTATATGTGAATATGTGTTTGCCATTTTGTAAGACTTTAATAGCACAAAAAAACAAGAACAAAATTACTGACACAATTAACATATATTCTCTTGTGATTGTAACTTGTTTACTATATGTTGTAAACGAAATCATGCTAAAATCGAAGTTCTAATACACATATAAAATATTTTTTATTTGTGAAATTTTATTTATTTTTAATTTGACAATAAAATTTAAACAAATGAAAATCGGAAAACATTTTTTTCTTTGCTCTCCTGAAAAACTTTTTTTTACACAATTTTTTCTTCCCAAAAAACTAAAGAAGCTATTGACTTATAACTTTTTATGTTCATTAATTATAGTTAAAACAAATCTTGAAATCTTCACCTCAATATTTTTCCTTTTATTCTTTCATTGTGAATTGGTTTCTATTAAATTGACTTGATTATCCTTGTTTCTTGTTCTTTGAAATATCATTAAAAATAAAGTATGAACAGTTTTAAATCTTACTTCTTTTTTTTTCTGGTATTGTATTTCTGGTAAAAGTAACATAGATGTCAAACCCATAGAATTTTCAGTCATAAATCATGCATGTTCAATCAGTCATATTTCCAAAATATATTTATTCATAAACTTACCTCTCTGTAAATTTATTGATAAGACTTTGGGTTGTTTAAAAGCATGCAAGATAGCACTAGGGTACTCGATCTCCCTTGAAAAGCAAAACATATATGTTTATTTAAAGGTCATAAAACATTAATGTTTTGAGGCAATTTTGTAGTCCTCCAGGGTTGAGCAGTTTGTAACAATAAAGATTTGTAATATTTACTTGGAATTTCTTTTAATTACCATTCATTTACATATTTTCATGTAGTATAATTCAATTTATTGAGAAAGGGAGAAATTCTAATAGCCTTTATTGGCCCTGTCAGTTCTTTTATAAATCTATTCCTTAGTCTTAACTAAGTTAAAAAGGAATTAATTCAAACTATTTCTTAGTATTACTTTTACTTCCACTTAAAGAAACAGAAATAGAGCTGATTTTATTTGAGAGAGAGAAGATATAAAATATTCTGTATTTGTTTTTAAACAGTACAGAGGAGACCTTAGAAACTCTTTTACAAAAGTAATCAATTCGAAGAATAATTTTACATCCTAAACAAATTTTGTCCGAATTAAAATAAAATCAAGAATAAAAGAAATTATATAACTGCCACGTTCATTAGTTCTTAGTCTTGCTTATCAAAAAATTATAAATACAAATTAACACATGCGTGAAGATTTACTATTAATAGCTATTCATTCATAGCAAATGATGTGATTTTTAAAGAATTTGTAATAAAAGGTACAGGTTTTTTAGGTTTTGTTTGTTTTTGATGTTCAGTACTTTGAATCCAATCTTCCATCAGGTTATTGGAGGTAAAGAATGGATTTATAAAGTCTGTCAACATTGGACATTCCAATAAAAAGTTCGAGATGTCTTCCTTTTTGAGGAGGTTGCAGATAGTACATATCTCTTCACAATTCACTGTGTATCCTGAATCTTGTCATCAAAATTAGATTTTGCTATCAGGTCTCAGTCAAGCATGCAGCCTTTAAGTCTGTTTTCTTCATTTCTGAAATTTTCACTAACTATTTCTAAGTTTTTGGCTTTGCTTCAGCAAAGAATGGAACTAACTTTGCTGGTTTTTGGATACTGGTTTTTACACTTTCTCTGGGGAGGCTCTCAAAACTTAATAGGTGTGTATTTTTCAGGCTCATGGGGATCGTGTAATGTTTTTGAAGTACACAGTATGAAAAGTTCATGTAATTCTAAGACTTATTGTTTACTATGTGGCAGTCATATTCACTCTGAAAGTGCTCATTATAGGTTTTCTTGGTGATAACAAACTTTTTGAAGGTATCATAACTGTTACTTTTAGAAATATAAAGGCCCAAATCAAACTATATGGTAAAGAACTTATAATTATTATTTTAATTATTTTCCTCTCCCTCCCTTTTCTTGCCTCATAGTTAGTATGGTTTATAATCTTCAGAGATAAGTAGAGATAAATCTTCTTTATTGAGGCTGTAGATATTAGCTTTTCTCTTCAGCTTGGTTCTCAGTTCCCCAGTCCAATCTCTTGGCATTTACTGTTGTACTTTATATTTCTTATAAATTTATAATATCTTCTTTTTATTCTTATAATAAATCATAATCCAATTTTTGAGATTTTTCTATTCTTCTTTTGAGGAAGTGGAGGGGTATTTTGATATTGAAGAGGAGCCTGAACCAGTAGATGAGGTGAAGCTTTGGCAAAGAGGTTATAAAGAGAGATATTATAACCTTAAATTCAATATTGATGGAAACAATCCAGAAGAAACCTGCAAAATAGGCTTTGAGTATGTTATTGGTTTATGCTGGGTTCTAAAATATTATTATCAGGTAAATTTAAATTATTATTCTCATATTTTAATTTTATATATTTTTTTATTAGGTTTTGCATATTGTACTTAACTGCTTTTTTAATATAAGTGAACCATCTCAAATCAATCACCCAGTGACCCATTTTAAATCAAACCAATAGATTAATAAACTCATGTATGGTAGGGAGGTTCTGATGGTGTGCAAACACTTTTTAATGGAATGTAGACTATGCTCCTGTCTTTGGAATTCCAGGGAAACTGAAATGTTGGACTTCTCTACCACAAATGTGGCCAGGAGTAAAAAATCTTAGCTCATATATTGGGCAAATGTCCTAACAATTTGTTCCTTGTTGCTTGCTGGCACAATAATATAAAGTAGCAAATAGTAGAACTGCTGGAGAAGAAAAATTATAAATGTTTAAAAGAATTATTTCCTGGACACTGAAGGCTTAATGAGATCAGTAGAAATTCTAGCTTTTATTATGAATGAAAGGGAAGCATTAGCATTAATAGCAGATCCTATAGAGCAAGATTCAAAACAAATGATAAGGATCAGAACATCCAAGATACAACCATAGAAAGAGGATATGTTTGTAAAATGTATTTCTTACTAAAAGCAAGAGAGGTATTATATTATTATCGCATTAACTATGGGAATTATCAAGCTTTAAATTTTAGGCTAGTTACCAGGATCACAAAAATCACCCTTTACGAGATGTTGGTTAGACTTATCCTCACTAGGGATGAGTAATTCCAACTGCAGTTCGCAACGGAATGTTCCACCAGTAGAATTCATTCTAGCTCTTGTTTTTTTCTATCTTTGTCCTGAACAACACTTGGAACAAGATAGAGAATAAGAAAGCAGATATGCATAGTACTAAAATTATTTAAAACGATAGGTAAAAATCATTGAAACAAAAGAAAATGAAGATGGGCAGGAAGAAATTCAGAACAGTTAAGAACCAAAAAAAGTAATAATAATAACTGGACGTTTTAGGAACATTGAAGAGAGCCTAAGAGCAACATTCTCTGAAAGGTAGACCAGAATCAAAGGTAATAATTGAACTGAACAGATACTCAGCAGAGTTTATTTTAGATGACAAATAGATGAGATCATATCAAGTGGTGGTTTGCTCTGCAGAACAAATACCCAAATTTATACATCACTGGGAAAAGAAATGATAAGTGCCTATTGCCACTGCGAGAGAATATTTTCAAAAGCATATGGGCTGATATACAATAATTATTTGTTTTTAAATTCCAAAATTTTAATTATTTGTACTTGTTTATATTTTTGTTTTAACGGGTTTGTAAATCAAATCCTATTCTAACCAGCACTTTAGAAAAAAGTGTTAAAAGATTTGAGGGGAAAATCCTCTGCACGATAACCGGAGTGATCTGGGATCAGAGTACTAACACATGGAGAAGAAAGACCAATAAAGAACTGCTTACAGAAACTGGTCAATCAATATCCTATGGTATGAAGGCACGGAGGTTAAGATGGACCACCGCCCATGTAGCTCGTAGCAATCCATCTGGAAGTCTCTACATAACAATGAATGCCACAATAGAAGGCAAAAGACCACATGGAAGGCCAAAAAGCAGATGGATAGATGGAATCAACAAAGATGCAACAGAGCTGCGTGCAGATAAATGGAAAGAAATAGTCCAAGGCAGGCATAGATAGAGCATGCTTGTTAAAGCGGCAAAAGATTTACATGGTCTGTAATGCCAGCAGGAGAAAAAATATGTTTTTTTTTTTTTAAATCCGTACTTTATTTTATATTATGAATCCATTTGTTAGTTCTTGATTTTTAAATATTATTTTGCAATAAAACTCTTTGTTGGTTAGTGAAATTCATATATTTCAGTAATTAATTTTCCTCAACCCTTTTCAGGCCACTGTCTCCAAATGGATACCACTACTTAGACTTTTTTTTTCACTTTCTTTTACATTATAATAATAAAAGGCTTAGTAAACCCGAAGGTTCGATGTCGACACCACTAATCGCTGTCCACACACCTCTCTTCTCTGTTCGCCTTCCAAACCTAGTCCCTTCAGATCGGTCTTAACGCAATCTTCCCACCTTTGCTTCAGTCTACACCTTGGACGTTTACCAGTCAGCACAGCAAATATTAACCTTTTAGAAATTCTTTCGTTACCGTAGGAATTTTTTCGTTCTAAAAGTCCATCAATTTTACAAGTCCATTTAATTTACTGCAATGTAATCACCTCAATTATATTAGCCAGATACAATTCACGCAATTCGGCGTTGTGTAACCGTCTGAACTCTCCAGTTATCTCATCCTTCTTCGGTCCGAATATTCTACACAATACTTTAAGACGTTGCTTATCCCTTGATATAAGCGGCCACGTTTCACATCCATAAAGAAAATATTTTATCAATAGTTGAACGGTTCTGTCCAAATCTACATTGATAGTTTCCGATAATTTCCTCGTCGTATTCCATGATTCGATTAGTAAAGACTAATGTAAATATTTTATAACATACCGGTAGGAGTGAGATTCATCTATAGTTATTACAATCCGTCCTCGAGCCCTTTTTGTGAATCCGAATAAGAAGAGATTCTTTCCATTCTTCAGGCAATTTCTCTTTCCTCCTGATCTTTTTAACCAATAAATGTATTTTAATAACCGCGCATGCCTTAATTTGTTCACTAGGAGTATTATCGGTTCCCGCTGCTTTATAAGATTGTAGTTTTGCGATAGCTTCTTCAACTTCCTCTTTACTCTGTTCTTCTAATAACAGTTCAGCACTCTGATACTCAGGAGGACACTGATCATTATTTCCTGTCATAGTGTTTCTTAAACTTATTTAATATGTCTACTGGATGGTTCTGAATATTGTTACTTTCATCCCTAATTCCAGAAGTGGTGGGCCTTAAATATTTATGTGATCTGCTTATACCTTTGTACTCATCTCTTACATTATTTTAGACTCGATTAGCTTCTATGTCCATTATTTTATTTTTGAGATATTTTCTTTTTTTTATTTTTAAGCAATTTAGTTGTTTCATTCTATAACAATCGGAAGTATTTGAGATTTCCTTTTTCCCAAGATGCGAGTTTCCAACTGCTTTAATATTATCCCTGATCCCTACCCATAACTTATCTTCAAACCTATTCTTAACATCTAGCTCGAATTGAGTTCTAATTGATGGTTTTTTTAATTTTTCCAAATCAAAATTCTCGATATTGAAACGATTTTTTTTCTCTTTTTTATATTAAGTTTTTGTCGAAGTTTCGGGATTGCTAATTCATGATCCGACCCACATTCTGCTCCATGATAATAACGTACATTAATTATACTGCTTTGCTGGCTATGTTGTATCAAGATATGATCGATTTGATTCCGTGTTTGCGAATTGGGTGATGTTCAGGTGTATTTATGAATATAATTATGTTATGTTTAAACGTAGTACTTTTGATTATCTAGTTTTTCGAGATGGCAAAGTTTATCAGACGGATCCCATTATCATTACTCTATTCGTGCAAACTTTCTTTACCAATCGTCGGAAAATAAACTTTTTCCCTTTGCACTTTTGCTTTTGCTTCACCTGCAATTATTTTTATAGATTTTCACAGTAGTTTATCTGAAACTAATTCCAGTTCATCATAAAATTCGCATTTGACTTTAACATTACTGTCTTCGGTCGGACAATGATGAGGTATGTTTATTAACACTATTTTAAACCAATGTCCCTGAAATGTAGCTACCGAAATTCTATCACTAAAGATTTTTTTTCCCTCAAAGCTGATAGCAATCTATTTCTAATTAGAAACCCGGTACCTAAACAATGATTCCTGCTTCCTCCGTACCGAATTGTGTACTTTCCTTCCCTTATTGAGCCCAAGGAATTTTCACCGACCATCCCCATATCCGCCACTCGTGGGATGCTCCCCATATGTGATAATGAGCTCGCGCGAGGTCTCTTACATTATGGAGTAGTTATATAAAACACATCTAATATAAAAACAGGAGACTATACTTGGGGGCGGGGTGGCCGAATAGGCTAAAGCGTGTGCACAACACCGCTTGTTGCCTGGCAACCGGATAACAGAGATTTGAGATGATATAAAAAGTACGAGTTCGCGTCCCGTTGCCGGAGGGGATTTTAAATTCCCCGCCCTCACCCCCCGGCCCGGGCAAATCCCGTATAACCTAAAAGGCGAGGTAGGGAAGAACAAAAAAAAAAAAAAAAAAAAGGAGACTATACTTGACCAAATGGAAGTATTTACTACTCTATAATCTAAGAGAAATTAAAATTAAAAAAAAATTCAAATTAGTTTTATCCAATTGAACACTGTGGCCTGAAAAGGGTTAAATATTCCCTTACCCCTTAGTTCCAGCAAAATATATAAGGAAAATATAAATAATAAAATCTCATTTCTATTTTACTATTTGAGTTCTACCAATGGGTAGTTTCTCTTCATGTTGTACATGCCATGTTACAAATTTCTCATTTACTTATTGTATTCTCTATGTAATACAGTTGTAAATTCCATTGAAATAATAAAAAAAAAAAAAAAAATATTTTACTAGTTGTTATATATGCACATTAATTAATCTAGAGCTTACAAATTTAATATAAATATAATAACACACTTAGACACTTTAATCAGTAAAATGTATTATAATTATACCTTACGGGAAGGTGGAATTGTTTCCTCGAATCAGAATCTCATTTCTTATTTGGCAGTCTAAAGTTATTTGATTAAAATAATTATAATACCTGTTATATTAAGAAAGGCTTTTATTTTATTTTATAATGACTGCTTCCTGACTATTTATCACCCACGATATGTAGAACAGTCGACTAGCTTCCTTCAATAAAGAAAGGCTGTATTTTTCACCACATTTATTTTCATTTCTCCTCCTCATTGGCTATATTGAGTGAGAGAAGACAGTCTGTGATCCTGTGGTCTCTTGATGACTTTATAAGGGATTCTGATAAGGTTTATTTAATAAATAGCCTGATATAAAATAAAAATAAACACCTTTAATGATAAAAAATAAAACAAATCTTTAAGTGAATAAAAATAACTGCATACTGAGATAAATAACAAGGTTCTACAAAAGAAAAGAAAATGCAACTGCAGGGTAATAAGAATTACAGGAAAAAATAAAATAAGTTTCACAACGAAAAATAGTGTTGCTGATCAAAGAAAAATACAAGTAATAGCAATTGCAACTCCACAAAAATATTGTTATGCGACCTTTTAAAACCGTTTTGCCTCTAATAATTACTATTGTGTCACCATTTAAGGGACAAACATTATATGCATTGCACCATGCGATAGTTAAGCTGCTGGAAGATTAGGTTGGGTCTAGCCGGGAAGATCAAACCCCAATGAGATAAGTAGAGGTAGGGCTGGAGTAAAAGGCAGATAGAGGTACTGAAGGTACCTCTTGTAGGGGGATGTGCCCTTGTGGCAAGATTAGGAGCTAGGAGAGAATGTTTCTGTTATTAAGAATTTGTTAACTGATGACACTGTAATAGGAACTGCTTACAGACTGACTTACTTGCTTACAATTAAAGATATTTTTGGATTGCTTGAACTTCGAATTATATATATAATTGTAGTATTATATAAAAGTCTAGTAAACTAATTTAATTGATGAGTATAAACAAAAAACCTATTTATTTTTTTCATAAACACACATGATTATAGAACATGCATATAGTTTAATTTATAAAAAAATATAGTTAATCCTATGCTTTAAATGTGCCTTACCTACGCTTCTAACATCAATGTTTTGACTGGAAAAATTATCGATGAAATGTGTAAATTGATATGAGAATTTTTGTGTGATTCTTAAGTTCCTTTGATATGTTGTAGTTCTGTTTAAAATAAATAAAACACCTAAGTTCCTTACATTCTATTAATTCATATTTATATATGATAAAGAGAATATTTTCCTAACTTTACATTTTATTTAATTTTGAAATTATGAGTTTTAAAGTAATGGTAATTCATTATATTAATGTTGTGCTTTTTTTTATAATAAATATTTCATCATTATAGGGTTGTGCTTCATGGAAATGGTATTATCCTTATCATTACGCTCCATTCGCTTCTGATTTTGTTAATATTGCACGTTCTAATACTTGCTTTGAAAAGAATACTCATCCTGTAAGTATGATAATCATTTAGATTCATTATCTTTTAAACTTATAATTTACAGCTTACAATAGTGTAAGTTATAATTAAATTTCCAGCATTTAAAAAATGAAAGATTTTACTTTATGATCAATCAATTTGTTGAAAACATGTTCACAATATGGTATTTCCTTGTTTTCTGCAATAGGGTGAATGCACCAGTAGTTGACATCCTTAAGGAAATTTCTTTTGAACTTTTACCTGTAAAAACTGAAATAAAAATGCGATTATATTTTTCTTGTATTTATTTTATAGAACTACTTCTCACCTTACCTAAGCACATTTCAAATCCATGAAACATCCATCGATATTTTTAATAAAATTTAATTTAGATAAAAATTTTGTTACACCAGTAACTGACACTGTTTGATTTGGAATGTTCCTATAGATGACAGGAATGAGAATAAGGCTGTAATTATGTGAAATAAATTTTATGTTCTTCATTTCAAAATAGATATTAACAAAAATTACCTTTAACTTTTTATAAAACTAACTTCCTTTTGTTTCTCGACTTCTGTTTATTAATAAATACTGGTCACTGTAAAGAATCTGTTTTTGCAATAGGAAAATCTATTTTTGCTTTGTATTTAATCCAAATCACTAACACTTTTTTTTTTTTTTAATGAGAGAATGGAGAATGGTCTCATTTTTAAGAACTTTATATTAATTATATCTCTTTTAATTCAAGAGAGTACAGGCCTGTCAGCTACTGGCTAAAGGTTCCATTATAATGTCCTTGTAGTTGACACTCTTTATACTCCCACTTCCTTCATCAAGGTAAGTTAAAAAAAAAAAAAGTATAAAATATATTATAAAAACACTTAAATTTTGGGATAAATCAAAGTAGTTAAAGAGAAAAAATCAAACGGGATGGAGCCCTTACTGATAGATAGATGGTTGTTCCTGGAACACTAAGTGGACCATGAGAGACCTTCCTAATTTTCCACCCATTATTTCATGTATGGTTTCCTGCATGACTAAAGCAAATCAGACAAATATACAAGGAGAAAATATAGAAACTAAAAATTTATTAAATAGAGTTCTGGGAGGTTCTGAAACCTTGTTATTCCCATTTTTTGAGGAGTGTGTCAGATATTGGTACACTGTCAGCAACTGGTGCTTTTACCCTAACATAGTTTTGATAATTGATACAAATATAAAAAAATTGCAATTAACAGCAGGGTCACAACACTGGATATTAGTTATATGTTTTATTTAAATATTTAGCTATCATAAAGTTTATATTTGTATGTAATTTTACTTTCCAAATTATACAAAACCAGGAATGTCAAATGATAATGGAAAACAATATTACATTGACCACCATTTAAATTTAAATAACTCAAGTTTTGAATTTTTACTATCAGAATGATGAATATAATTAAAGATTAATGATTTTAATCATAACATTTAATTTACAAATAGATTAGTTTATTTTACATGTGATAGAGGTAATTTGTTAGAATATTGTTTATATAAATAAACTTAATTTAATAAATTAAAAATTAATTTAACTTCATATTGAAGCAATATTTTTGAAATTATTTTCTTGTAATTTATTTTTCTCCTTTTTTTTAGTTAATTTAATTTTTTCATTGTTGTAGTTCTCTCCATTTGAACAACTGATGAGTGTATTTCCTGCTGGAAGTTCTACACTTGTGCCACCTACTTGGGCTGATTTGATGACTAATCCAGTAAGTTGGATGAGTGAAATTGACAGTATTATTTTGTGTTTTAAATAAATTAAGAATCATTTTTTATTTCTAGTTTAAATATTTTTATTTTATTTTTCATAATTTATTTATTTATCATAATAATGATACATGATTTCCTGATTTTAGATGTCACCTATATTAGACTTTTATCCCAAAGATTTTATGATTGATTTAAATGGAAAGCGTTATGCATGGCAAGGTGTGGCATTATTACCATTTGTTGATGAAAATAGATTAAGAAGAGGACTAGCTCCTGTTTACAAAGATCTCACCGAGGCTGAAGGTAAATTAATCATCACATTGAAGATATTAATATCGGTTTATTAATTTCATTGTAAATTAAAACTGTTATGAAGATAAGTTGTCAGATATTTCAAAAATTGTATTTACCTTTTTTTGTTTCCAAGTTATCTTTTTTTTTTTTATTACTTTGTTACTTTCTCTTTCAATATGTCTAGAGTTATTTTTGGTAATAAGAAGTCTAAATTTCTTGGATGACTTTTTAAGTTAAAGAAATGCATCCTTTAAAATACCTTTTTTTCATTATTGGTCCAATAATAAACTATATTATTAATTACTTAAAATAAAATTCTGTAAATTAATGAGCATAGTTCATAAAATAATTTCATTATTTCTCATCTACATCACTTATCTGTACAACGAATGAAAATATTAAACAGAATTTAGAAACAATATTTGGTATGCCCAAATGACTAGTATGCCATTATTAAAACAATAAGTAGTTTCTTTTTAAATTTCAATAAGCATATGATATTTTATAAATGTATTCTTCTATAAAAATGAATTTAAACTTTGGTTCTCAAAAATCGCAAAATTATTTACATGATTTAACAGAATCATTTTAAAGTTTCCTGAGTGTTGTAAGCTAATAAACAGTTGCTATTTCTTTGAATATACTACTTCATTGAAGTTTTATTAGTTTTTTAACATTTTTGATCATTCAATTTATTATTCAAAGTTTCTTTCTTTTAATGATTCTTAAAAAACCAGGAAACTTAAATTTTGTAGTTGTTAAGCCAACCATGTTTTATGTTGAATAAAACGTAATAACTAAAAAAATGTTAAATTAAGGTTACAACCAATTATTTCATAGTAAACTAGGTTAAATTTACATTAAATGCAAGTAAATCTTGTCTTTTTTAAAACAATTTAAAGGGGACAGTTAAACTACGGTAAGTTCGGTTTTCATAAAATCAAGGATACTTTGTGATTTATTTTGTAATCTCTCAATTAGTCTGAAGATACCACACTTTCAGAAAAACTTTCTTGTTTGACCGGCTATAAGTTTATATTAATTAAATTTTGGTTTGTTACAGTGTAAGTTGAGATTCATCCCTAATTAAGTAAAAAGATATAAAAATATTTGGATCGTTTCTTAATTTTTTCGAACTAATAATATTTTTACTCAATTAGAGAAAATGTGAGCTCAACTTAATTAATATAGACTTAAAGCACATTGAGCAAGAAGGTTTTTCCGAAAGTGTAGTATCTTTAGTTCTGTTAGGGGATTATAAAAAAAATCACGAATAATACTTTATTTTATAAAAATTCCAACTTACCGTAGTTTAACTGCTTAAAAATCCCCTTTAAATTGTTTTAAGAAAGACAAGATTTACATGCATTTAATGTAAATTTAATTTAGTTTACTATGATGTAATTGGTTGTAACCTACATTAAACAATTTTTTTATTTATTACGTTTTATTCAACATAAAACATGGTTGGCTTAAGAATTAGAAAAATTTAAGTTTCCTGGTTCTGCGTATGTAATCAGACCATGGTTTATGGCAACTATTTATAGGTTTTAATGTCTTCTATTAATTAATTTCAATCTGAACTTCATATCATTATCACAAAATTACCCGTTGATTGATATCGAATATGAATTCTGTCATTAATGACTTTTAAGAACCATTAGAAGAAAGAAACTTTGAATGATCAAAAATGATAAAAAAAAAAATAATTTTTTGTTGCACTTTCATTTATTTATCCGCACCTCTCAATTGCAACTATTGACAATCAGCAGATGTGCTGGCATAGTAATGAGAAAAAGAATAATGATATAAGAAAAATAAATAAATAAAAAGGCTTGATACGCATGAGGAATAGCAATATCCAGTGGTATCCCTTCCATGGCTTTTGTTTACTAAAACATAATTAAGTAGATCCCTCATCCAGACCTTTTTCAGCCGTCTTCTGTAGTTTTCGGCCATACTAGTTGTGGCCAGTTCTTTTACCAGCTGGTTGGATTGTCTATTTAACATATTATGAAATCGTTTGTAGTACGTTCGTATATGTTCATTGACTGTCGGAACGTGTAAGTCAGTGTGTAAAGTGTGATTGTTCACGTACCATGGTGCTTGAGTGATTAGTCGTAGTATCTTAGACTGGAAAGTTTTAAGTTTTTTTTTATGTATGTTGGTTTTGAAATTCCGTATATTTGTAGTCCGTAAGTCCTAATAGGTTTTAATAGATATGTGTTAGGTTTAATGTGATTTGTTTTTTCTTTACATGTGGACCCCATGTCATTCTCCTATCGAACATAAGGCCTAGGTATTGTATTCTGTCTGTTTGTGGAAGCACAATGTTGTCTAAATATACAGGCTTAGAGTAAATGTGATGTGTTGTGACTTTTGATAATTTATTTGAGTTTTCCAAAGTTTACACCAATCGAGTATTATTTGTAAGTGATGTTGTAAGTTAAATGATGCCTCTGTAGGATTTTCGTGCCTGTTAATGGTAGCAGTATCATCTGCGTTGGTTGCAGTAAGAGTGGATATTTTGAGGAATGTCGTGTGTGTATGTGATGTACAGTAGTGGGACTAGGATTGATCCCTGAGGTACACCAGCTAAAATTAGCTGAATTGAGGATAGATCTTGACCATGTCGAACAGAGAAAAATCTGTTTGAGAGAAAGGAATGGAGAATTAAGTAGTAAGTATGTGGAAGTATGGTCCTAAGCTTGAAGAGAAGCCCCTAATGCCATACTTAGTCGAACGCTCGGGCAACATCCAGAAATATTCTGGTTGATTATAATTTCCTCTCTAGCGCTGTAGAGAAGTAGTCAGTAACCCTGTGCAATTGTGTTGTTGAATGTAATTTTGAAACCTGAATTGATGGTCAGGAAGAATCTATCTGTCTATTAGTATATGTTATAGTCGTGGGTACAATAGTTTTTCGAATAACTTAGGACATACTGGAAGCAAACTAATCGGTCGATATGAAGAAGGATTGTTAGTGTCTTTGTCTGGCTTTTTAATCATGGTTATGTGTGAGTATATTTCTACTGTATTGGAAATTTGGTAGTCCTGAGAATGCAATTGAAGATTGTGGTAAGAAACACTAGAGCTTTCCTTGGCATTTGCTGGAGTGCCTCAGCAGTTACCAAGTCATGACCAGGGGTTTTTCTTGTGGGCAATTATCTAATTTCTTGTGCAACTTGTGATGGTGTGAAAGGAGGTGGTGGTATTGTGAGCTGTAACGGTATATCTAAGTTATTGTATACAAAAATATCATGTTCTGTGTTAATTAAGTCTGTATGTGGTTTAAAAACAGTGGAAGGTGGTTAGCAAAGAGTTCAGATCTTTCCTAGTCCAAAACAGTCCAAGAACCACTCCCTTTGTAGGGGTGCTGAGACCTCGTGATGCTTTAAAAGATTCCTTGTATGTCTCCATAAACTTCCATCGTCCGTCAAAAGATTGTTAATAAAATTGTGGTAGTTTGTGCTTTTGAATTTGTCTTTAAGTTCATTGTTTAATCTGTTAAAAGTTTGTCTGTCTGAAGGAAGTCTATTGGTCTGCCTTACTTAACGTGCTCTTCTCTTTGCTCTAATCAAGTCCCTTATGTACATAGGATAATGGGCAAGTTCGCTGCTTTTTGTGGCCTGGATGTTGATGAGGCCCATGCTGCGTCTTGTATGCTTTTTGTGAATCTTTCAACAGTTCTGCTAGTTCCTCATGATTTTTAATTGAAGCTGGAACAGAAAGATTGGTGTTCAAATGGTCTCTATATGCGTCCCAGTCCATGCAGCCTTTTATGATCCTAGGTCTTTTTTGTGCTTCGGAACGCGCGTCGAAGAGAAACATGTGCACTGAGGAGTAATCAGAACAAAGATCAGAGGTTGCATTGACGGCAAATGGTACGGTTCTTAGCCCTTTTGTAATGAAGAAATCAAGTGTCGGGAGTTTTGCGTCTGGAAGTGGGCCAATAAGTCTGTGAATTTGGAGTTACAGTGTCTAATGAAAGTTCATGGAGGACAGACCAGATATTTCTGCCTCTTGCAGTACACAACCTTGAGCCCCAGCCTTAATGCTTGGCATTATAGTCACCACCTGCTATGAAGCATCTTCCGAAGGGTTTGAAGAACTCAGAAAACATTGTGGGTGTAAGCTTGTACCTAGAGGGGCAGTAAACTGAGGCAAATGTTATAATGTAGTGTTTAGCATATAGTGTTATTCCTGTTGATTGTATTTCTGGTGAAATGGGTAAGTCTATGGTATTGTGTTTCAGTGAATTTTTGACGAGTATAGCTGTTCCTCCATGTGCGGTTTTATCTGGGTGATCAGTTCTATAAATTGTGTAATCCTGAATGTAAATTTTTGATCGAGATGACAGGTGTGTTTCTGTAATGAGTGCTACGTCGATCTGTTTTTCGTGCAAGTATAAGTCGAGTTCAGTACTGTTCTGTGTCAGTCCGTTGGTATTCCATTGAAGAATTGACAAGGAGCCTACAGTTAAATTATTGTGGGCCATAATTTGGGCAACAGACCTGTGACAGTTGTTGAAGAAGAATGAAAAGGGGCTGGATTAGGTTATTGAATCCATTAATTATATTAAATAATTGGGAAGAGCCATTATCTACTGTACATGTTTTCGGGTTCTGGGTGATGAGTTAGATGATGTTTGATTTTGTCGTTGCGGAGATCCGTTGCGATGATCTGTGGTTCCCCTTGGTTGTGACATTGCCGTATTGGTGGGAATTCATGTTCATGCATGCCTCGAGAAGGTCCCTGCGCTGGCTCTGCTACTGTGGAATGCTGAAGACGGTTTATTGTATTGCGCTGAACCCCGAGATCTTTCAGTGTCTGGCAGCCTCTGTAGTTAGTAGGGTGCTGACTGCCACAATTGGCACATTTTGTGGGGGTGTCTCTGGCTTTCAAACATGAACTGGTTTCATGATATTCACCGCACTTTACGCATAGTGGTCGATGGTTGCAATTAGTTTTAGTGTGCCCATATTGCTGGCACCGAACACACTGAGGAATATTTCTCTTTTGACACGGTTCCTCAATTTTAATATTTGAATAATATAGAAATTCAATAATAAAAATTTCTTCTCTAAATGCTTCTTTTGTAATGTCAATTGTCTCTATTGTAATCACAAAAAACATAGGAAGGGGTTTTTTGAATCAATATATGACCTTAACTACATTGGTGGCTTCGTAACCCATTTCTTAAAATTCTTCTTTAATAATATCGACTGGTGTGCCATGGTGAAGATATTTAACAACAATCCTTGAGCATTTGTCCTGTGGAAGTTGGTAAGTATGGAAGTCGGCGCCTTTATTTCGCAGGCTAGAATTTAATTTTCGATAAATGTCAGGATTTTCTGGGTACACAGTGACACCTTTCAATGTATACTTCGTTTTAAACTTATTAGAACCCGTTTCATTTTCTAGAAATAAGATTAATTCATGATAATTTTCAACACCGTTTATAAAAATTGGTGGAGTTTTATTGTTTTGTGGCAATCTTCTAACTTCTGTTTGTAAATTAGTTATGTTGGTTAGAACCTGAAAACTGTTCAAGGTTGGAATAGATTCTGTCGGTCGTTTTTGAGCTCTTGCCTTGCTCAAATCTGTCATAGGTCTTTTACGACCAATAACCAGTTCCCAGGAGCCAATTTCGTTGTTTATATCACTATTTTTAAAGTGCATGTTACTTACCTCAGTTTGAGGTGATTTCATCATTGTTGGCGGTGAAATCCACTCAATCATTGTTTGGTGTTTTGTCTTTAGCAAACTTGTCTTGATAAAACACTTTTGTTACACAAAAATTAAGTATTGACACTTAATTAACACTTTTTTGGAAGACAAAACTGAACTAACCTTTTACCTTATTTAACATCAACAGCTGTTTTTTCAAAATGTTAAGAGATCAAGCTTAACACTCCGCTAGGATGGTAACCACAACCGGAGGGACCAATCTCCGGACTTCTGGGAGGATGAAATACTAACGGAGGGATCAATCTCCTGACTTAGTATATAGGAATACAAGCGGACGGATCAGTGTCCAAGCTTACATGGAGTAAGAGAAAAGGATAAAGGAAGAAAATAATAAGGAGGACAAAGGAGAAAAGGATAAAAAAGACTAATTAAACTTCAAAAAGTTATTGTCTACTATGAAGAACATCAATTTCGTGGTTGGAGCAATTTTTCCTTAAAGTGGGAATCCAATAAATATAATCTCATAAATATCTCCATAACCATTGACCAAAGAAGTGTAAAAGATCATTTTTATAGAGATTTTAAAGTACTTTATTATTATACTGAACAATCTTTGCAAAAAAACTTATAGTTTTTGAGATATTCACAAAAAAAGTAAAAAATTATCAGTTTATTGTTCTTCCCTTCATTAAATACAATCAGCAATATTTTTTTCTTATTTTATACGAAACAAAAAATTGTTTGATACATTATGACCTAGAAATCCATGCAGAGGAAAAGCAGAAAACTATAATATAATATAATGTTGAATTTTTATCAAATATGTTTTTCTTGGCTCCCAGAGCACATTGATAAGGATCCTTGGGCATGGGGCTAATATTTTTGGAATTAGTATCACCAAATAAAGTTTCATTGAAATTGGTGATCCCATTCCTGTAACTTCTTCTTGTAAGTAATATAAAATATTTATTATTTGTATTGTTTATTTTTATAATGATTATTACAGTTGTTTTGTTTATATTGTACATTTAAAACTTAAGTTTTAGTTCAAAAATTACTTTCTCTATCACTCATTATACATAGATTTAAAATCAATCAAATATTAATTATTATTTATTATTTTAGTTAAACGGAATAAATTGGGTCATGATCGTTTATATGTTGGGATGGATGCAGATTGCTTCCAATTCATTAATGAATTAGATCCTCAGATTTATCAGAAAAAGAAAGCACCTTTAGTATCCGATGGTGCTTATGGATGTATATATATAGTTCACGAGGAATTTTATCAAGGAGAGTAAGTCTATAATTAAATTGAATTAGTTGGATTATTTACTATTTTTATGATGAGAAATTACTTGTCAATACTTGCTATTGAAACATAATGTATATAATATTCTATTTATTAAATTTTACTTAATCATTTTATATTTATTTATTAAAATCTACCTTATTATCTTATTTATTTATTTTTTGTAAACAGAAGTATTCCTTCTCCTGTGCGAGGTCTTAATGCTATAAAAAGGAATTCGGCCATTTGGTAAGCAAATTATTCAATTTTCATTCCTAAAATATTAAAAACAATTCCATTATTTTTCAAGTAAAATTGAGTAAATAATTTAAATCAAATAAACCGATTTCATTACAGTTTTGAAATGACCTAGGGGCAGTTACTAATTGGTTTCATGTTCTCAGATTCATGAAGTTATTTATTTATTTATTTTTACGGTTTAGTACAGTCAGCACATTGTTCCACTATATTAATCTAATTTCAGTTAATTATTTTTGGGTTAAGTGGACCAAAAAACTTCTTTTCCAACATTTAGTTACCAAACTTCAGTTCTTACTATAACAATTAATATTAAAGAAGTGACAACAGTTTTATTGTTTGTTTTTTCTGTTACTATGAGATAATTTTTTGTTAATAACCTTTTATTTTATTTATATATATATTTATTTTATTTTTTAGTGTTGCTTTCTGTGACCCTCAGTATTCAGAAGATTATAAATTTAAATCTACTCGCCTAGAAGGAGTTATGTAAGTAAATTCTTTTATATGCCGAACTTCTTAAGAATAGCAAGTTTCTGCTTGCATGTGCTTTTATTAAGTTTAGCTGTTTTAATATGTTCTCTTTTTGTCACATTTTCTTTGTCAGATATTTGTTATGTAAATGGCATTTCTGAAGCTACATATTTTTAAGAGATTATTTTAAAATACTTTTTTGAAAAATTTAGTAAGTCATTTTTAAACATTTCTTTATTTTCTTTTGTAGTTTATTTTTTAGGATCTTCATTTTTACTTTCACTTACCTACATATGAAGTATATAGTAACGGAAAGTATTGCTATAAAAATGTTGTTTAAAAAATTGAATAAGAGATCATAACGGAAATTCGTTGTAATGGAGGAATCATAGGAATACAAGCTCGCCCAAAAGATTAGAACAGGTTTCCATACGTAACATAAGCTTAATACAATACGGACTCCAACAATATAATAGACATATAGGGATCTAAGGACAATATGTACCTACATATGCGGTTTTCATGAATGCTATTGTTGGTATTATTTAATATTTAATTATATAGATTATAGTGATATAAATATTGAAATTTATATACATAAGGTTACTTAAACAAACAAAAATACCCACAATGAAATATAAATAAATATCATCATCACCATCATCATCATACGTGGCACAACTCCTGTAGAGTCAAGGCCTCCCGCAACTTGGTTCGCCAGTCTTCTCTATTGGTTGCAGCTGCTCTCCAGTTGTGTATTCCCAAGATGGACCTGTCATTCACTGCCACTCCATCGATCCATTGGTGCCGAGGTCTTCCCACTTTTCTTGTCCCTTAAATCCTTTCTTCTTGGAATCTGATCCTGGGTCATTCTAATTAAATGACCTGACCATTGAAGCCTGCCTACTTTAATCACCTTTACAATATCTGAGCTCTTATAGAGTCTTTTAGCTCAGCATTTGTTCTTATCCCCAGATTCCATTGATGCAAACTGGACCATAAATTCTCCTCTCAAATCTTAGGATAAGGGCTGGCTTCCTGTATACTGGGTAATGTCCAGCATTCGGAGGCATAAGTGAGAACTGGTTTTACCAGGGTCTTGTGCAGTTGCAACTTTGTGTTTTGAAAGATAGTCCTGTTCCTGAAATGCTTTAGTAATCCAAAATGGCATTTATTTGTAGACATAATTCTGCGATGGATCTCTGCTTTTATGTCATTATCCGCGTTTAATTGTGAACTAAGATGTACAAATTCTTATATATATACAAATGAAAAGCTTCCAGCCATAAAATGATGGTTCGTGCACATCTAGTTGTGGGCCTACCTGCATTTATTTGGATTTTGATTCATTAATCTCTAAACCCACTCTAGCTGCTGCTATCTGGCCATAGCTATGCTATGGAGACTGATAAAAGCATTTTCTAAATCTGTAGGGGTTCTTCCAACAATATCTAAGTCAAAATAAATATATAAATATAGCATCCATAATTTTTACTTTCACTTCTCCTTTGTCTGAAAATACTTTTATCTGATAAGAAGAGGATGGTAAGTGAAAGTTTTGTGATGCGCGCACCATGCCAGATTTTTTTATTTAAATTACAATTCACAAATCTAGCTTAAGCTACTCCATAAGACTGTTTAGTTACACTCTTTAGACAGCTATTCTATATTTTCAGAATATAAAAGCAACATGGTCTATTCAGATTATATAATCTTCCTTTTATTTTGATTATTTTTTTTAAATCATTGTTATTGATTACATCATTATAAAATATTATATGTCTTGATATATAATAATAATGATATAGAGGCCAGCACTACAATTAACATGAGGTTGTGTGAATGCGAACCCTTTGTCTTGCATTATCTCGAAAATCTTACATTTTTGGGGTTGAAAACGGAGGGCCTGCTCTTGGTGTACACATCAAAATCTTCAAAGTCCAATTTGTCCCATATAGATCTACAGACATACCATCATTCCAGTATTGAAGCCTAGCAACATGTTTATATTGACTTTATTTATTTTAGAAGAAAAAAAAAAGTAGGGAGTATAAATCACTAATCTCCCATAAAATTCTGAATCCAAGGTACCCCCTTTATGGTATTTGAGCATGACAGGAGCTTATATTTGGTACAAAACCGATTTCGAGCCTTACTGTAATAATATATGTGAGGATGACTTATCATCAACATTTAATGAACTGTTTTGTTATCTTTAATATTACTAGGCAAACTTAGCTCAGTCGGAAGACTCAGAGACCACGATTACGTATTTTTAACTCATAGGTGCAGCACGAGTAATGTTTGAAATGGTAGCTGAATGCCAGAGGGTTAAGAAGTGAGCTCGGCAAAATCATTATCATGTACTTGATATATGGAAAAATTGGAAGTTTTAGGAAATTATTCTTTTGCATTAAGATGTTCCCTCAATTCTTTTTTTATTTCTTTAAACTGTCATATACCTGTGTTTTTTCATTCAAAATCGAGTGGCTAAATTGCAAATATTGAATTTTTCTTATTTCCATTAACAATTTATATTTTTCTTTAAAAGTTTACTGGAAACGAGTAAGCATTTTGAAATTCAAATCGACAGATAAATTGAATTTTTCTAAGTTGAATAAATGTTTTCAGAATATGTGCTTCACTGGCTTTCCACTTTCCAATGTGGAGAAATGATTCAGTCTAAATTCTTGTATCAAGCCTCTCCGCGTCCGTTTCAGAGAACATCCTTTGTGCAGAAGTCAGTTATACTAGAGAGAGAATCACTTTATTATCATAAAATAAAATAAAATGGTGCTGCCCAATTACATTGGGTTGCTAACAACACAGCATACTTATTAATCACTACAGACATTATTTAAAATTATTATACAATTATAGGATTAACAATATGTATGAGCATAGTATACAATATTTTATACGTATATATATATATATTATTTTTTTTTTCCTTTTTTTTTTTTTTTTTTTTTTTTATAATTTTTACTATTTCTTTCATTCATTTATTATCATTCTGTACCCTTTCTCTTCCTTCTCTCCCCCTATACATGTTCCCACTCACATTCTCTCCTCTCTCTTTCTAACCTAATACATAAAAAATTCATAAAGTACAGTGGACGTGTTCAATAAATAATAATATAAAAAATGCTGTAACACACGCATGCCTCCCCCTCGCGAGCAAACTCTCCCCCTATCCGCTCCCATGCACATGGTGGTGGATGATTCCCAGGGAGTCGAGGATTATACTCTCTGCCAACCTTGCCACGTCCTTTATGTCGACACCAAGGCCCTCCATGAAGCTCCTTGTTGAGTCTGGTATCGTTCCGCGAGCTCCGAACCAAAGGCCTCTCACGTGGAATTCTCTCGGCCCGAAACTCTCGCGGAACTTTTCACTAAGGAAAGGGATGCATTTCTCATATATCTGTTTTTTCTCCCTTTCCACTTTTTCTGCCTGATCGAGGTCGTTGATCTCATATCTCACGGTCGGATCCAAAATCATCGCCGACTTTCCCGTCTTAGAGAATGCTACAATGTCGGCATATCGGGTGGATCCATCCGTATCTATACAATATACTTCCTCGAAACAGGCGTATTCTCTCTCTTCAAGGAGCCTCATCAGTTCATGCTTGACTCTGTGGTGACGGCGTGTTATAAGGAGGGAGTTGTTGGGGCATTTTCCAAGCACATGTGCTGGTGTTTCTGGCTCTCTGTCGCATTTGCGACAGAGGGACCCAACTTCTCTTACCTGTCCGCTGACACCTGGGACTCCACGCAGGGGAGCATAATTAATATTTAGTTTCAGGGCATTTGACCATTCAGACCCAGAAAGTACTTGCTTATCATACATGTATTTATTGGCTTTCGGGGTCTCTTTAAAATGGCGAACTCCAATGCCCTGCCACCTGCAATTGGTCCATTCCTCAAACGAATTTTCTCGAAGCGACTGCCGTAGAGCTCTCATATTCCGAATACCCCGATCAACCCCCAATCTCTCGGCACATTCATCAACCTCAGCCGAATAATCAAAGATCGACTGAAAAAGGGCATCGGGCACATTGGACAGTCGCTGAGCAATGGACCAATGTTGTAGAGGAGCCTCCCATTGGCAGCGGATTAATCCCAATCCTCGATACCTCCTGGGAGAGTACAACATCGCCGTGGAGGTGTTCGCAGGGAGTCCAACAATAGCCTTCACACTCCTGCGAATCATGGTGTCGATGCCGTCAAGTACGGCAGGACGCAGCTTTGTGAGGGGCGCAGTTTGGAGAGGGTAAGTAAGACCCGGGAACAGATATTGGTTGACAATGTTTAGCTTCTGCTCCGGCTTCAGCAAGGGAGAGGTTACCAGTTTATTCAGGTTTTCGTTCAATTTGGTCACCGAATCTTCGTTGAACTGTAGCTCTCCCGAGAATGTACATCCTAAATACTTGATTGTATCTCCATTCTGCATTGTTTGGATGTACTCTCCGTTCTCAAGGGAGAGCATCGCGGTTTCCAGCTCTCCTTTATTTAGAACGATGCCCACGCTTTTTTGAGGATTAATAGCCAAACCAATTCCCTCAAATGTCCTCTGAACGCTGCCGATCACTCTTTCTGCAGCCCCCTTGTCACGCGCTGACACGGCCTGGTCATCCGCGAAACCTGTGAGGACCACACAACCTTGGTCACTTTTTAACTTGTATCCAAATTTTTTGGAAAATTCTTCATCGCACAGGTCGCGATAGAGATGGTCAATGGCCAGGTTGAAGAGCGACGACGACAAGGGGCCGCCTTGGGGTACCCCGCGCAGCACTTTGATTTGGCTAGTTGCGTGAACACCGTTACTAATTTTGATTGTGTTCGTGCAGAGGAGAGCCGATATAACGTGTTGAAGATCCGGCGACACACCTCTTGCTTCCAAGGAGCTCACGATATGATTGTGGCCAACATTGTCAAAAGCACCGACAACGTCAAGGAATACCACCGCACAATCTTTTTTCATAATCTTTGCATCCTTCAATACAGCGTCGATAATCCTTGCGTTGACGTGCGTTCCCGGGAGGCCTTTTATAAAGCCTCTCTGATTCCTGTGGAAGGTGACCTGTTTTCTTAATTCGTGGTCCAGAACCTTCTCTATGATTCGGCGCACAATAGAATAAATGGTGATGGGTCTCCAGGAAGGGATTTTGTTTACATCACCTTTCCCCTTATATATTAGTATTGTGCGCCCTTGTCGAAGTGGTTCTGGGACATAGGCCACCTTCAACATTATCTCCGCAATTGTTCTAATAATATTTGCAACATCGAAATATTTAATCGTGCGGATCAGAACTCCATCAGGCCCCGGCGATGTGTCCATTGATGTTGATTTAATGGCTTTCTTGACGGTTTCTACATCAATGGACACTAAATTTGGCATCGGGGCACACTGCTCGTAATCCGCACGCCTGCAGAGATTTTCGCTCTCAAAGAGGTCTTTATAATATTTTTCGATATCGGCCATCTTTATAGGACACCTCTTAGGAGCATCGGCATTCATAACAGTTTGCACAACTTTTTTTCTTTTATTGTAATAATTATACTGTGCGACTTCGTATTGATACTGCTCCTGCCGACGACTCCTGTCTACCTTGTTCGCTCTTTGCGGATTTGAGACTTGTCCAGCACCCTTATCAGCCACTTTAGTTTTATTTTTTTTTTCTCATCTTGTAAAATTTAACGGCTGGGTGCTGGGGACCTGGCAGTTCCTCATTGATATTCTTGAGAAAATTCAGGAACTGGCCTACGGCCTCATCAAAATCCGCAATATTCATTGTGTTTTCTTTTAAGAGATTCTTGAACACGGTAGACCATCCAATAATGTCCTCTTTTATTTTTGATACCTCACCCTCTCCATTTTTTGGACCTATACCATTTTTCACTATGCCCCTCAGTGTATTGGTGTTAGCCTCCCTGGGGTGCTTTTTTGCAATCTGGGTTCCAAGCCCTCTTTCACCCTTAAAAGAAAGCCCACATATGGGACAAACTTTATTATTAGGGCGTATAACTTCTTCCTCCTGCTCTCTGCTCGCCCCTGCGACATTCTGTGGAACATTTGGCAATGCTGGGAAGACATCATCTATCGAAACTGTCTTTCCCAATAGTACACCTTCTGTGTCTGGCCATTCGACTTTTACAATTTTCTTTTGGCCGCCCTCCGCGGCATCCACAGACATCACAGAGGCAACAACAGCCTCCTGAGCAGGTCCTTCTGTTCTCGGAACCCATACTTTCTGGCCAATTTCGATTTTTTTCATTATTTTTAGGTCCATTTAAAATACAATCTATTTATTCGAGGCCATGTATACCACACGCATGATTACACTAAATTATTTTAAGGAGAATTAATATATAAATAAAAATAAATAAATAAAAACTAAACGAGAGAGACATGCATATATGCCAACTTAAGTATCAGATAAATATGTTTAAAAAAAGTTAAAATGTAAAATGTATAAAGCTAAAAAACAATTGAGATCTATAAAATCAATTGCTTAAAAATAACTTAAAATATAAAATCAAGAGAATCCAAGTTATAATAAAAAAAAAGTTAATTAATAGGTTAAAATCTATAGAATCTATTGCACAAAATCAAGTTAAAATATATCAAATAAATAATGGTAAAATAATCTAAAATTTAAAATCAATAGAAACCAAGTTATACTATAAAAAGTTAAATTTAATCTTAAAACTAAGCTAAAATATAAATATAAATTTAGTAAAATTTTTGAAATGAGGTTGGAATTATAAATTTCTCCGCTGCTATGGGAAGTTTCACTAAACATATATCAAACTTTATAATAAATGTATTTCTAATAAACATATTTTGGGAAATATTGGCAGAGAATTTACCAGCCAGATCTTTGCATTAAATTCTTTTGACTGATCTTCCTCAATATAATTTAACATCTAACAGGATAATAGATTTTTATCCCAGAGAAGGTTTTGTTGACTATTATATTTGTTAGAGAAACATTATTAATCTAACATGGTAGTTAAGAGTTTAAGTGTAACTATGAAAGATGATTAGATAATTAAGAAAACACCAAAATTCTATAGCAATTAAAGCATTGGCAAATTATGTTCCTATATACATGGGTATTTTATTGATTTTTATTATTATTAATCTTACTGGTATACAATTTAGATAATTTATTATATTATTTTCTTTTCAGTGAACCTCCTCGAGTACTGAAGTCCAAAGAATTGGGGAACCAACAATTATCAAATAATTGGCGAGGGAAAAATAATTTTCAACATGCATGGTAAGTTAAAATTTCTAATGAATTTTTAAATTTGAAGATATTATCAGTTACTCTGGCATTTTTTCCCATGGGTTGGGTTGTACATTTTTTTTTGGTTCAGTTGGAGGAAATAACATTCATTTTTAAAAAAACGGGAAAAATTTCCTCTCTGTCTTTCAACTTCAAATAAAAGTGATTCAAAACAGCTGAGTACCCAGAAAAGTAGAAAAGCACTTAAAAATATGATTTACATTAGCACAGAATTTTAATGTACTGGTTGGAGGAAACATTTAATAGGAAAAAGGATGAATGCTCATGTTTTTATTTTTTTGTTGACAATTATTTGGTCCACAATAGTAATCCATTAGTCTGTTGTGTTTTGCCTGCCAATAAAGCTTGTAAGCTGTAGCGATAATAGACCAGGTCATAATTAAGACACTTTATCTCAAGAAACAATAACGCAACCAACACCTTTTCAGCCTTGAAGATGGAAGAGCTTTAAATTGCCTAATTTTCATTAATGATATTATAACATGAAAATGTTAATTATAGCATAATAAAAAAAAAATATTTCAGGATTGTAGATTTATGATAGTGAAACAGTTATCAATATTTAGATGTTTTAGAATGTCCTATTTTATGGAATCACACTTCTGACAATTAGAAACTCCCATAACATTATATTCATTTTGATTGATGATGGTTGTGCATTTACAGAATCCTAATTGATTGTTTTTTTTTTCTTTCCTTTTGGCTTTCCACATTTCGTAAATCGTTGGCTGCTGAAACCAGCGGAACCAGCTTTCTCAACCTCTGCTTATTTTGGGCTATTATTTTCTAGTTTGCAGCATGCAGCTCTGCAGTATTTTTGTTGATGTTGATTCTGTCTATCTTTATAGTTCTTATCTCTCACATGGTCACTCACCAACTATAGAGGCATTCATTGTTGTGTAAACGCCTGATGGATTACTTCAAGATGTTTGTCATGAGATATTGATTGACCTTTCTGTAAACAGTCCTTCTCCTCTATGCATCAGTCCCAGATAGTTCCTGTTATCGTATTGAGGATTTTACTCCCAAATCTTTCAATACTTCTTGCAGGAGTGCTGGTTAGTGTCCAGGTCTTCCAACCATAGATCATAACTGTCTTTATCATAGTATTGTGCAGGCTTAATGTGATATTTGCTTGAGAGTTTTTAGAATTTCATTACATTTAAAATTGAGAAGAAAGTTGTCTTTGGGCTTGTTATATGTTTGTATATTTCTTGCTGTTAGTTATTTATTTAGGTTATTTCCTATCTGTCCTCAGATAACAATTTTCTTTCTACACAGATCCTGTTCTTGGGGTGAATTTTCCTGCTTCCTGTCATGTATTTTGTTTTATGTTCATTTACTTCTGGACCAATTTTCTTAGCTTCTGTTATCAGCAGAACCCTTCAAATGCCATATTACCATGGGTTCTTACTAAAATGCCATATTTAGCTGATTCTGGAGTAAAGTTATATATTTTGAATTTTGGATAAAATGCTATGTATGTGCCTTATTTTTGACAAATCTTTATAAACTGATGATAAAAAAAAACCAGTGCACCTTGAATTTAATTTAAAACCTAAAGATTAAAGACATTTTTTGAGCCTGAAGTAATAACAGGGATATGACAGGTCAAAGGGGATTGCCATGCATCAATCCTTTCGAGAAAAGTTCAACTCTTTGAATTGAGCTCAATTCTCTCTAGATTTAATGATAAAAACATGGACTTCATATCATTTTATCTCCAGTTGACTGTTCAATTGCGTTGGTTTTGCTTTTGTGTTGTTTTTTGTTCATGAAAACAATATTTCATTTGTATAAAACATTTTTAATAGGTAAATGGTTTTGGATACCATGGCAGTCACTCAGATAATTGCATTGATTGAGAAAGGCCAAATCCAGCGATACTCGGCCTGAATCCATGGCCTGCCTGAAAGAAGGGTTTGGAGGGAAGTCCAGAGGAACTGGGAGACAGGAAACTATGCTAGGAGGCCATGGTCAGGCCATCCAAGAGCGACAGGTCCAGCTGATAGCAGGGTGGTCGAGCGGGCTAACGCATGTGCATAGTACCTGATATATGAGATAATTTGATTAAAATGATTACGAGTTCGTGTCCCAGTGCCGAAGGGGTCTTTTAACTGTGGCATTAATCCCCCGCCCTTGGCCCGGGAAAACACCCGTATAGGCTAGAAAAGGCGAGGAAGGGGAGGACAAAAAAAAAAGTGCACACAGTACAGAGAAAGCTTGCTGAACTCAACATGCACGCTAGAGTACCTGCTTCAAGCTCTCTACTCACTGCACACACCGAGCAGCTTCCCTCTACTTTGTCGTGAACACTACTTGGACAGATTATTTGGCTTCTGTTTTGTTTTCTGAGGAGTCTAGGTATAGCCTTTAGTCTTTGTGGTGCTGATGGATGAGTTGAAGTATGGAGAAGAGCATAGAGCATAGAGTGGCCAGCTCGCAGCCCAGATTTTGATTCCATTAAGCATTTTTGGGACATCTATCCATCGACAACAGAACGTTCCAGGCGAAAACTCCAAGTACATGAATGAGATCAAATTCAAGATCAGGTAGCCAACTTTATTGGAAGTATGCCTACAAGAATACAGGTTGTTATTTAAGGAAGGGGAGGCAATAATAGTTACTAGATACTCAGATTTCTTAATTAAAAAAGAATTAAGTGCATTTTATTTTTGTTCAAAAGAGTGTTCATTTGCTTTATTTTGCATTATGGATTTTTTAAATGAATTTTTGTTGGATTTTTCCTTTATCTGTGGTCTCCTACAAACAGAATATGTCACAATATATTGAGAGGAGGAAAAGTTTAAATTTTCTTGGGGGGGAAAGAAAGAATGACAAAATGTAAGGTGCACTGGTTTTTATGACTGCCAGTGTAGTCTAAAGAAGAAAAAAAAATCTCCAAATGTAGTGCATCCAGAAATTATGTCAATGGGCTGAAAAGGCCGTCTTAGGTGCAGAGGAGCTGAAATGTAATCTATGATGGTACAAGGTCTGTTGCCCATTAGTGGCTGGAGTTTAACGAAACATCAACTGGAACATGAACATAGTCCCTGACTTATCTTCTCTCTTGCTAAGTGTTCTGTTTTTAAGTTTTTCATTTCAAATTCAATATGCCTAGAGTTGTTTGCTTAAACTGGCTTTACAAGAAGTGGATTGATGTAGACAGTAATTTTGCAGTGGAGGAAGGGAAGATATTCTGCAAGTTGTGTACGAAAAAACATTGCCCTCTAGAAATTGTGGGTGGGAGGATATAAAAAGTATATCTGCGAATCTGGGTGCGATGGAAGCCACTACGAAGGAAGACTAGGAACCTGCAGATGTCCTCTCCATGAAGTACGCTGTTGTAATATTGGCTGATCTGGTGTGGACATTTTTAAAATGAAAATATTTTTTGAGTGACCAACGCATCAGATATTCAATGTAGAGTATATTGGCCAATCTGAAATTGTTCTACAATTCTAACAGCAACATCTATTAATTCATTCAACCATTTTAATCTATATTATTCACTATATTTCCTTTTGAAGGAGGGTTTCAAAACAATAAGTTCCACATTTGACCAAAATAAATGATATATCGGTATACTTTTTAGTGCTATAAATGGCTCTAATAAATACCATATTTCGAAGGGATCTGCCTATCAGTGTCTTAGAGAGTCTCTCAATATGACACCTCCACAATCGTTGGTTAAACTGTAGTTTAACCTGGGAATTTTATTGTATGAGACCCTATTGAAAAAGTCCCAATGGTAAAATTAAATTAAAGGACCTGTGGAAAACAAAACGTATAAGTTTGGCACTATACAATAATTGTGAAATATTTGTTATGATCTACAATGCATTTAATCACTCTCAATCTGGCTTTGGTGAACTGAAATCAATTTTCTCAGTGTTTAACTAGAGAACATTAACAAAGGCAATTGGATTTTAGAAATGGGTTTGTTGTTAGGGTGTAATAGGATACTAAAAATTTCACCTTTGTAGAAAGTTGATAAACTTTATGAAAGGAGGTGATTTCATATAGAAAATTTTATAATAAATAGAAATTTATTGACAAAAATGTAATTATTGCATGTTGCCACAGTCATTTCACACACACATTGCACTCTACTCATGTTCAGATCTTTCTTTCTTTCTTTATAATTTAATTTAATTCATTTTTTTGTAGGGATGCTAATAAATTCCAAGAAAGAAATAACCCTCGTCCCATTATTGGTATGGTTCCTCAAACTACCCAAGCTACTTTGGGTGATGCTTCTTACAGGATGATGAGGTGAGACTTTTAGCATATTAATTATTATATTATGCAAACTAAAAAAATCTTTGGTGTTAAAATGTTTTTTCTTTCATTAAAAACTAAGATAGAGATTTTAGAAGTATTTTTGCTCTTAACTTCATATAAAGGAAAGGAAGATAGTTTACCATCTTTATATATACATATTTTGTGGATTAAAAAAATGTTGTTCTGTGTTACCTACATTACTTGTTAGCTCTATTGGTGACACTTTCTAGTATATGTTTTGTTAAAAATGCTAAATAAAATTTAATTCAAAATTTTTAGTGGAACTTTTTAAATTTCCATTTAAATCTTTTTTTCTCCTAATGTTTAAGATCTGATATTCCTGTTTTATTAAAAATGGTATTTTAAATTTAGATGAAATCATAATTGAACATAATATTTTTTATATTAGGAATGATTGTCCTGTACACAATAAGCCAGACCCCCCTTCCGTGCTCTCCCTTCCTCCCCCCACATCTCTATAAATTGCATATCGTTGTGTTCCTTGTCACTGTTTATTGAAAAAAAGTCAATGTTCCCACAAAAAAAAGTGGACGCACTGCCCCAAAATGGCATCCAAACATGGCGAACTGACGACTTTGATTTTATTTAGTTTTTTGGTCACTGAGAATCAGCATTTGGCTTAATTTCGTTATAATTGGTATTTTATTAAAGCTGGATAAAATAATTAAACAAGAAAAAATATTAAAAAACTAATTGGTTAAGGCAATAAAAAAACACCAGTAAAGTCACTTTTTTCAACAAAAAAGTTTTCTAGTTCAAAATCAAGCATCGTTTGTAATTAAACGGCCAATAATAACGGAAATTCATGGCGAATGTTGAAATATATGGATTTAAATATTGGTACGTGGAACGTAAGGAGTTTAAACACAGCAGGGGGGCTAAAATCGGTCGCGAATGAGGTAAATGGGTACAATTTGGATGTCGTGGCTCTGCAAGAGGTTCGCTGGCCAGGGGAGGGCTCGATGAGGGAAGGTACCGGGTTTCTAATTAGGAGTAGATTACTATCCGCTTTGAGGGACGTACAATTCTTTAGTGATAGAATTTCGGTAGCTACATTTCAGGGACGTTGGTTTAAAATCGCATTAATAAACATACATTGTCCGACCGAAGACAGTGACGATGAAGTCAAAAGTGAATTTTACGATAAACTCGAATGGGTTTATGATAAACTACCGCGAAACTACATGAAAATAATTGTAGGTGACGCGAACGCAAAGGTAGGAAGGGAAGAAGTTTATATTCCGACGATTGGTAAAGAAAGTTTGCACGAATATAGTAATGATAATGGGATCCGTCTGATAAACTTTGCCATCTCGAAAAACCTGATAATTAAAAGTACGACGTTTAAACATAAGGATATTCATAAATATACTTGGATATCACCGGATTCGCAAACACGAAATCAAATCGATCATGTCTTGATACAACACAGCTGGCAAAGCAGTATAATTAATGTACGGTCTTATCGCGGAGCAGAATGTGGGTCGGATCATGAATTAGTAATCGCGAAACTTCGACAAAAACTTAATATAAAAAAGAGAAAAGAAAACCGTTTCGATTTTGAGAATTTTAATTTGGAAAAATTAAAAAATCCATCAATTAGAAACCAATTCGAGCTAGATGTTAAGAATAGGTTTGAAGCTTTAGAGCTTCCTGACGAGGACCATGAGGATATTGACAAGTTATGGGTAGAGATCAGGGATAATATTAAAGCGGTCGGTAACTCGTGTCTAGGAAAAAAGGAAAATAAGAATAACAAACTGTGGTTTGATGAAGATTACCTAAACATGTGCGAAAAAAGAAAAGCCGCTAAATTAAAAGCTCTAAATAATCCTAGCGAAGACAATCTGGAATACTTCCGAACCTCAAAGAACGAAACGACAAAATTGCTCAAAAATAAAAAAAGGGAGTATCTTAAAAATAAAATAATTGAAATAGAAACTAATAGAATCGAAAATAACGTAAGAGACATGTACAAAGGTATAAATAGATCACGTAAATATGTAGGGCCCGTAACGTCTGGAATTAGAGATGATAATAAAATTATTCTGACCGATCCAGTTGACATATTGAATAAGTTTAAGGACCACTTGGCAATATTTTAAATACGGGAAATTATGATCTGTGTCCTCCTTCTGAGTACCAGAGTGCTGAACCGTTAATAGAAAGACCAAGTAAAGAGGAAGTTGAAGTAGCTATCAGAAAATTAAAATCTTATAAAGCAGCGGGAACCGATAATATTCCTACTGAACTAATTAAGGCATGCGGGGAAGCTGGAGTTTCTAAAATACATCGGTTGGTTAAAAAGATCTGGGTGAATGAGAAATTACCTGAGGAATGGAAAGAATCTATTCTTATTCCGATTCACAAAAAGGCCCCGAGGACGGATTGTAATAACTATCGAGGAATTTCATTCCTTCCGGTATGTTATAAAATATTCACTTTAATCTTAACCAGTCGAATCACGGAATACGCTGAGGAAATTATCGGAGACTACCAATGCGGATTGGTAGATTAGACAGAATCGTTCAACTATTGATCAGATATTTTCTTTACAGCAAATATTAGAGAAAAAATTGGTATACAACAGCATTGTTCACTAGCTGTATATAGATTTTAAAAAGGCTTACCATTCTATTGACCGCCAGAAACTGTATAATATTATAATCGAGCAGTGGATTCCAAAAAAACTAGTAAATCTAGTGAGGATGTGCTTGACGGAGACACTCAATAAAGTTAGAATCGGTAATAATCTGTCGGAAAAATTTGAGGTTCGTTCGGGTTTAAAACAGGGGGATTCCCTTTCGCCTGTCCTGTTCAATTTGGCATTAGAACATGCCATTAGGGAGGTAATGCGTACCGAGAAAGGGTTGGATCTGGGTGGGACAACATCCGTGCTGGGCTATGCTGATGATCTGGTACTGTTAAGCGAAGATGTTGAAACTATAAAACTAAATACGACAACGTTAATGAAAGCCGGTAAAAAACTAGGACTCGAAATAAACGTGGATAAAACAAAATATATGGTTAGCTGCAAAAATGGCGATACTACTGGTGATATCGATATAGATGGTAATATGTTTGAACAGGTAGATAAATTTAGGTATCTAGGTTCTACGATAACTAGAAAAAACGAAATTGAAGAAGAGATTAAGGTTAGACTGAAGTCGGGAAATGCTTGTTATTTTTCTGTGACAAAACTACTCAGTTCGCGCCTCTTGTCCCGGAACTTAAAAATTAGAATCTATAAAACAATTATCTTGCCTACAGTTCTTTATGGATGCGAAACTTGGCCGCTTACATTAAGGGATGAGCTGCGTCTTAAGGTTTTTGAAAATAAAGTATTGCGTAGAATATTCGGACCGAAGAAGGATGAGTTAACCGGAGAGTTCAGACGGTTACACAACGCCGAATTGCGTGAACTGTATCCGGGTAATATAATTGAGGTAATTTCATCGCGGCGAATCAAATGGGCTTGTAAAGTTGTTGGGCTTAGTAACGAGAGAATTCCTAAAAGGTTAATATTTGCTGTGCCGAATGGTAAGCGTCCGAGGGGTAGACCGAAGCGAAGGTGGGAAGATTGCATTAAAGCCGATCTGAAGGGACTGGGTTTGGACGGCGAATGGTGGAGGGAGGTGTGTAATAAGCGATTGGTGGTGTCGTCATCGAACCTTCGGGTTCGCTAAGCCTTTCATTATTATTATAATAAAACTTAATTCAATAATACTTCGCTGAATATTTTGAATTTTTTATTTAACATATGCAATTTAACACTTACTGATTCTTAGCGGTAAGTTAAATTGTATATACTTTCCCGGAAATGAGCCATATTAATACTTGCTTTATAGAGTAAAATATATACCTAATCTGAACTATATTTAATGAATAGTTGATGGATTGTTTAGTAAAACTCATGTATCAGTAAAAAAAAAAATGAAATTAATTTTAATAATAAATATCCTTTATTTTGTTTGGAAGTTGGGCCATATCACAAAAAAAAAATCTGTTGTGTCCACTCACACGACTTTTCTACCTATTTCATAAAAGTTTTTATATTTTTACATATGTGCATCAAGAAACAAAAAAATTGAATTAGATTTATTTTCCTGAAAATTGATCAAAGAAAAGATTTTGGTATGATTTATTTGGTAAACTAAAGCAATGTTTTACACCGGCTTAAGGTAGATCAGTGTAAAAATTTCAATACCCTCTAATATTGCTGGTCAAAAACTTTTTGTCAAACAATAATTTCTATTAAAAGTAGAGGAAATACTGAAGCTTGCGTGATGCGGGCAACAGATTTTCTTACTTTCACTTAGTTATCTTTTTTCTCTCATTCACCCCTTTCTGACACCAGGATATGTACTTGTAATCTTACATTTGAATTGAATAGCTGGGATAGCTGTAACTTTGTTAATAGTTGTCCGAAATGAACAATTTTTATATAATTTTGTATGGAATTTCATTACCTCTCGAAAAAACAGGCTAAACGGTGTTCAAGTCAAGAGGCTCTGAAACGTATAGATCCGTCAAAAACCGCATTTTGGAAATTTGACCCGATCACACTACTTTCCTTAACTTGAATGTAGGTAACAATATGAAATTTTAATATTGAATACTTAATTCTCTCTGTACAAAGAAAAAGATGAAAATGGCAAAGCTCTATGTTCTTCTTGGTAACTGGAACTAATTGTTAGTATTTGATCTAAAATTGAACCCAAAAATTGGCAAAATACATTAAGCGAATGAGGAAGGTATTGCCAAAATCTCGGAAAAGAAAACAAGGATCAGTATCCATTATTTGGCTAAACGAATATGCAGTAGATTGATAAACAAAATATTTCAAGGAACTGCTAAAAGGAGGTCAAATGCTGCAGCAGTTTAAATTATATTATGGGGATGATGAAGATTTATTATGGTGGAGACCATTTTATTTTCTATTGCTTTTGAGTTGTACATTGGGACTATCT